CATGATAGAATCTTGATCCATAATTAACATGTCATAAATATAAAGTAAAAGAATAATAAATTTGCCATTTGAAATTTTTTCACAAGCACACAATGATTTGAAGTGGTTTTAGCAAAATCATTATTCATCATGAAAGAGTGAAATTTTTTTGTACCATTGCCGCAGCGCTTACTTGAGACCATACAAACTTTTCTTCAATTTGGAAACAAATCTCTCTTTTCCTTTTTCCACAAAACCTTCCGATGCTCCACGTAATTTCTTCTTCAAGGTCACCACGAAGAAATGCAGTCTTCACATGACGTTGCTCAACTTCAAGGTTCATACTTACGGCCATGCCAAGTACAACCCGAATTGAAGACATTTTCACAACCGGCGAGAAAATCTCATCAAAGTCAACACCTTTCTTTTGCCCAAAGCCTTTATAGACACCCCATTTTGACTGGCCCTAAGACTTGGGTGCTTTCTTTTGATTACCTGATGATGAAAATAGGAATATTATATCTCACAAAATTCTCAGTGGAAAGATGGAAATTAAGTTTTAATCCCAACCTTTACTTGTTTTGGCCAAATTATTTTAGACCCGTTTTGGCCAAATTATGTTACATATTTGGCCCGTTAAAATATATTTTATTAGTTTATTTATTTTTATTATTTTATAATCTTACAAGTTTTTGTATGTTTTTATATTTTTTTGGATATTTGTACATAAGTTTATGCAAATAATACCTTTTATCTATTATTATATTATAAAGTGCACAGTAATGTTACTGTGCACCATTTGAAAAACTCACACATTTCACTGTTTTCCACCGTTTGTTCTTTTGTTTGTTTGTGATTTTTATTTTCTATAAAAGGGGCAAAGGAAGAGTCAGACGAAGGGGAGAGGATTGAAGAGGAAAAAAACTGTTTTCAGAGAGGAAAAACTAAGAGAAAAGGATCAGAAAGAAAAGATGAAAAAGAAGAAAGAGAGGAAAAATATTTTCAAGAGAGAAGAAACAAAAGTCTTAAATATTTTATTTTGGGGAAAAATAAAATATTTGGAATCAAAATTTTCTTCCCATTCTCGTCCTTGTCTCTTCACCAATACACCAACATAACATTAAAGCTAAAATTTCAAATTTTGAATTGAGAATTGAGAAAGGTAGGAGAATCATCTTCTTGAACTTGTATTTAAGTTGTATCTTGCATGTTTCATGGAAGTTTGGTGATTAGAGTCTAGAATTGGTTCAAAATGTTGAATTGAAGCTTAAATCATGCATGCATGTACATGTTCTAGTATTTTGAGGTTGTTTTCATAGAAATTGCTACATGCATGTCCATATCTTGATTATAGTTCATGAATTCATCATGTTTTTAGAAGTTTCGACTCATTTGATTATGTATTGGAAGCTTTGATTTCAATTGAACACTTGCATGTCGTATGTTCATCATGTTCTTGAAGTTTGTTTGGATTTGTGTTTAATTGAACTACCATTGGGCTTTGATTTTACAAATTGATCTTTGAAACATGTCATCTTATGAGTTTTAAAGTGTTTTTCAGAAAATTAGCCCAAAAGGATCGAAGTTGATGCTTTAAATGTTGAGTTTCATGCTTGGAGACAAATCTGGAAATTTCAGATTTTGGATCCACGCTCGAGCGTAGAACTCCACGCTCGAGCATACACTCTGAGTTCATGTAGTCCGCTCGAGCGAGTAAAGTAACGCTCGAGCGTGAAATGAGTGTATCCAGTACTTTGCATGTGTTTACAGTCCGCTCGAGTGAGGGAATGCACGTTTGAGCGAGGACTTGTGTCTCACGCTCGAGCGGGGGTCGAGCGCTCGTCGAGCGTGAATTTCATGCATCCAGTACTTTTGCAGTCCGTTTGAGCGAGGAAAGTCACGCTCGAGCGTAGCTCCTTTATCTGTATGTCCGCTCGAGCGTAGAAAGCCACGCTCGAACGAGACCCTTGTTTTTCTGAAAGTTTTGAAAAGTGTTTTAAAGTGCATCTTTGCATCCTTATTCCACCATAGACATTCCTAGGCCATGTTTAAGGCATCTTAATGAGGATATTGATGTAGAACCACACCAAGTCAAGATAGGGACTAAGTTGTTGATTTCCAAGTGTATAACTTAGTGTGTGTTCATTCTGTAATTGTGTAGGGCTGGCATCCGATGACGCTCTAGCCTGTTGTAGACACCCCATTTTTGACCGACCTTAAGACTTAGACGTCACCAGTTGAGCGCTCGGTGGTACTGCATATTATGCTCGTTCAGAAGTCTCAGAGTCGCGGCCGTGAGCCCTGCCTCCGGACTTCCGAACCCTCTTCTGTGCCTTGCCTCGGTTTGCGAACCAGACTCGGTCTTCTCTGTTTCTTTTCCCGAGGGGAGGGAGAGGTCCCGTGGACCATCTCTCAGTGGCCGTGGGCTACATTTTGTGGCCGCAGGCCATTTTGCCCATTTCGGAGTCCGGTTTTCGGAGGGTCCGACAAGACTCTGTAAACTGTCCCGACATTGATTCCGGTTAGTTTCTACAAGGGTCCAGCAAGACTCCGTAAATTGTCACAACATTGTCTGCTACAACGGTCCGACATGACCCCATAAACTGTCTTCTACATCGGTCTGACACAATCATCCAGTGTCCTCTACAATGTTATGACACCACCATACAGTGTCTTCACCATCGGTCTGACACGACCATACAGTGTCTCCTATCCTCTTTTATTTTTATGTATTTTCTTGTTTTGTTACTCTCTCCAAACTCAAATTGGTTAGTTCCTATCCCCCTTGAGTTTGCGGGGGGCTGTTAAAACCTACACCTACTACACCCACTACCACCTACCACACACACTCACCTACTTCACCTACTCCCCACCTACTCCTCACCTACTCCCAAATCCTCTCCTATATAATAGGAATCCTTGTACTTGTAATATACACAATACAGATATATCAATAACATCTCATTTATTCACTTGCTCTCTCTCTCTTTCTGTATACATAAAATCTTACATGTACATCTGATATATATAACAATTCTAGACCTAATCCTAAATAGGAAACAAGAATAAACCTAAATTAATCCTAAATAGGAAACAAGAATATACCTAGACCAATCCTAAATTGGAAACAAATAAACCTAAACCAATCCTAAATAGGAAACAATATTCACATAATATATACTATACTAATAAACCAATCCTAAATAAGAAACAAATGAACCCAAACCAATCCTAAACAGGAAATAATATTCATATAATATATACTATACTAATATTATTCTCACAACTGGGTGCCTGGATCCTCCCATCAACATATCCCTTTGCTCTTCAAGAAAATAGTCAGACTCTGTAACCACGCTAGGTAATTCTAACCGTTAAATAGAGAGGTGGTGATTTTAAGGCCAGAGTTGAGGTTATCAGTCATAGTGGAAGAGATAATAGAACTCTCGCTCTAAGATGGCTGAGAGGTATGAGATTCACTGGTCAAATCTACTATGGAGACTCCACTAACTATGCCTCAAACACGATGCCAATCACAAACCCGGAAGATGAGTGGAAGGAAAGACACAACTTCTCCTATGAAAACATAAAGAAGAAAGAAAAGAACCTTTTTTTTTCTTTTTCTATTTTTTTTACTGCATTTTTTTTTTTAATTTAAAAAATGTAAACAGTCCAAACAGGACAAAAGACAATCACGACAAGGATGACCACCCACGACAAAGACCAGAAACGACCAAGATCAGACCAGGGCCATTCATGAGGCTAGCCGACCACCCAGAGAGGACCCAAGGCCCTAGGCGACCGGCGAGGAGGCCACGATGGCCCTAGTCGAACACCCAGGAGCAAGCGACAGCCACCAAAGGGCCTAGGCGACCCACCAATTGACCACGACGGCTTTCTGGGAGCAAGCGATAGCCACTAAAGGGCCTGGGTGACCCACCAGGAGACCACGACGGCTTTCTACAAATAGGAAAAGGCCACCAGGAGACCACGACGGCTCTTTACAATTAGGAGAGGGCTGCCGACTATCCCAGGCAAGGGTTTGGGTGGCCTGGGTAGTCTTGCGGTGGAAGAGAAGGAGGTTGTGATTGACTTTAGGTACCTCCTAATGAGGCTCTAATACCATGTAGGTTTAGAGAAAAGAAAGAGTTAAGAAATGAGTTAGACTTCATTCCCTTTTATATTGATAATTCTCTGCAATTACAGGAGTGCCATAAGGCATAATATATGGTCCAGCCATTACACCAATCAAGGGACTAAATAAGAATACAATCAATTATTTTTTATTCTACTATTTCTTATTTTAACATATAGGACCTATTGAAAATTACACAGTAAACTGGCTACTAGCTCTTAAACTAGTATCTAGTTCGTAAAGAATGGTGTAAACTGGCTACTGGCTTGTAAACTAATATCTAATTTCTAAGGAATGATTTCTCACCATTATTTGAGCTTATGTGTATTAATACTAAAAAATTATAAATATATATTTTGTGAACTTATCTAGCCACACACATATCTGGTCTCACACATATCCTATTTTTTTAGGTTTTGTCACATCAACATATCCGTATTGTATCGTATTAATATGCTGTGTCCATATTCATGTTCCATAGTTGCTTGCTAATGAACTGTATGTGTGTATTGTTACATGTACATGCCATAGATGCCATCTTGGGGCTCTGCCTTGGAGATCAAAAGTTGAGCCGATTCTTTAGTTGCTACATATATACATGTTATTTATTTGGGTTTCCCACATTTTGATAATCCATTGAAACAATAAGAACCAATTTGGGCAATTATGTTTAGCCACATATTAAGTGGTTGGGGGGCATAATAAAAAATTAGGTTGTTAACCCCTGGCACTGTGCTGTAGTTTTCTGTTTTGTGGATTGTTATCTGCTATCGGCCATTGGATTTTGATTTTATGTTTGCAGCTGCAGGATATATATTCCTAATATCCTAAGTTGATTACCATACATTACATGCATTAAACCCCAAACTTCTTGTATAAATTGCAGGTGGATTATGAGGTTAATATATGTACTGGCAAATTGGAAACTTTAGACCGTTGTGGTAAAGAACATTTCATGTCTAATCTTTCCATGCTATTGCAGTGGTCTCCATATTCAACAGAAGCAGAACTTCTGCAACAAGTAAGCCTCTGCTTTGTTGTTATTTATTTGTTTATATATTACTCTAATGGTTTTTTTAATGATAGTATACCATAAAGAATTGCACTCGACAGGAAATTTTGATAACCGCTTACTAAGCAAGACAATATTTTTCTCTACAATATGCCCCAAAACAAGAGCCCCTATACACTTAGGGAGAGAAATCACATCCCAATTAATCAAATGGTTCTTTTCACTTCACCACTTCCTTCCCACTACATTCCCACAAAAAATCTCTCATTAGTTTCTCAATTTTATTTGCCGCACTCACTGGAACTCTAAATAGCAACACATAATTAAATTGGTATCCTGGACTAAAGTTTGTCATATGATCTTATGGATTAAATCTTTATTTATCAAAAAAAGAAAAGGAAAGATATCACTTGAAAGTTCCTTTTTCTGGTCTTTCAACAGCTCCATGGGGAAAGGACATCTCTTTTGTAACATTCTATTAACTGAACAAGAGATTCGTAGTGAACTTGATGCAAGCTTTAACCGGCAATGCACTGGACCAAACAACCTTGCAATCACAAAAGCACATGTGCACATGCAAGTGACTGAGACTTTGTAGCAAGAGAGTAAAGATTAATGGACAAAGTCAATGAAGTTGTTTCCTTGATGTGGGCCTTATGGCCTTTGAACTAGGAGTGATCTGGGACTGTAATTGAATCTTCAAATTCATCTGTTGATCTCTCCATTTGTCTTTATGTTTTTTGTGACTTGAGTTCTTCTTGGCTATTTGATCAAATCCAAAACTTTGTTCTGAAAAGATTTGAGAAGTTGCCATGGACATGGAACTTTTATTGAGAAACAGGACAGCAACCATTGCAATGCATTGTAAATACGTAAATGCCAAATGTAAAGACAAATGGAATATAGTGTGTGCATACATAAATGCAATGCATGTGCATGTGTGCATCTTGATTTTGATATTGATTTATGGAATAGTGTAAGACAGTTCCTTGGATGATTCTGCTGTATTGGTAGCATAAATATTTGATTTAATTTAATTAATGAATTTATTTTTTGATAACCGGGTATCTGGGGCCAGCTTATGCACGCCTCGACTAACTTGGGGCCTTGAAGTTAATGGCCGGGCAAAATATTAAATAGCTATCATTTCTTTTGTTAACTTTATTTCATGGGGTTTTCAATCCAATGTGCAGTTTGATGACATTGGGTACCGTGGCACAAAGGTCATCATCTACAATTTATGGTTAAACGGCGAGGGTACTATGGAGCTAGATTTTGACTCAGATCCTGTGGTTAGAATAATTTCCTTCTCCTGTCTGTTTCTTTTTTAAAATATATTTTGGATTGTACTAATTGTGAAATGATGGTTGCAGGATATTCGTTTAAGGGGGGATGCCAAACATATGGGGAAGGGTAACAATCGGTTGACAATGACTGAACAGCACATGGCTAACCAACTCCACTATTCCCTCCGTGTGAGTCTATGATTTAGAGCTTGTGTTTAATTATGCATGTGTTAAACTCTTGCTAAATTCCATCCTCTCACTGTTCGCAGGTATATTTGTCCATCTTATACTTGCGAGTACCTGAAAATTTCAGAATAGTATTGCGTGGTCAAGTTGTTCAGCTTCATAATATTGCCAGTGATCTCAAATTTCCAGAATTCATCTTGTACAGACCTCATAGTGGTGGATGTGTGGAGGTTGTTTTAAATTATTTGAATTCCTATTTAGTTGTGAACTGTCTTTATCCTCTTATTTACTTATCCAATTTTGGGAAAACTTTTTTTTTTTTTTTGTGATCCTAAAAGTTCAATGTCACCTCCTTTTGGATCTCATCTTAATTGTCAAGTTGATTCGGAAATGTCTGTGATTTATGTTGTTTTTAAAGAATCACTCATTTAAAGATAGTCATGGCTGTATCAATGTCCATCTTAGTCACAATAATCCTTTTGAAGTCATCCATGGCATAACCTGAAGGTTAGAATCAGATCAGAAGTACTGGCTCGGACAAGAAGGAAGTTATCGAGCACAAGTGAAGGTCACCCCGGAAATCTATCATTGCCAGCAATGAGCTCTTTGATGTTGTCACGCTGATGCGTCTATACCATTATTGATGGAAGAAGTGGTGGGCCCCTCCTGTGTAGCATAAGCACAAATTTGTTCTGTTGAATGAGGGTCCTTAAGAGCTTTCTGAGCTATCTTTAATTCTTAATTACCAGAAAGAAGCGCTATAATCTATATTTATCACTCAAGGTTGAGTAATTTGATTCTTTTGTTTTGTTTTTTTTGTTTTTGTTTTTGTTTTTGTTTTTGTTTTTGTTTTTGTTTTTGTTTTTGTTTTTGTTTTTCCTCTTTTCAACTACATGACTAACATGAATTAGGTCACTAGGAACAGGTTGCACACTCCAGATTTCTGTTAGTATAAAAAATATACTTGTCAAGCAAGACAACCGAATTAAGGTTTTATGCTAAAATTTTCATTTTTAGTAGTTTGACAATGTTTAGGTTTTTTCAAGGAGGAAGAGGAAGTTTAAATATGAAAAGGACGTGTGTGTGTGTGTGTGTGTGAGGTGAGAGAGAGAGAGAACACAATCTTTTGACCTGGAAGAGGAGACCTAAGCAAGGCACATCCAAGAACAAGAGAATACCTAGAGGGATAATGTAAAAAAAATACTGTATTATTGATTGATTGATATCTTACAAGATTGATTACAATGATCATATATATAGAAGAAAATGTGGTAGTAGGTGTAGGTGGTAGGTGAGGAGTAGGTGGTGGTAAATTGGTGGTAGGTGATGGTAGGTGTAGGTGGTAGGTGGTGGTAAATTGATGGTAGGTGATGGTAAATTCTAACAGCCCCCCGCAAACTCAAGGAGGATAGAAACTAACCAACTTGAGTTTGAAGAGAGGAACAAAACAAGAAAATATATAAAAATAAAAGAGGATAAGAGACACTGTATGGTCGTGTCAGACCATTGGTGAAGACACTGGATGGTGGTGTCATAACGTTGTAGAGGACACTGTATGGGGGTGTCATAACTATGTAGAGGACACTGTAAGGTGGTGTCAGACCGATGTAGAAGACAGTTTATGGGGTCATGTCGGACCGTTGTAGAAGACAGTTTATGGGGTCATGTTGGTGGTAGTGGTGTAGTGGGTTAGGTTTAGTGGAGTAGGTTTAAGTGGGTGTAGTGGGTTAGGTTTAGTGGAGTAGGTTCAAGTGGGTGAAGTAGGTGATAAATTTTAACAGATAACAACCCAAAAAGAGAGAACCCTCAAAGAAGATGATTTTTGACCACTTGCTTGGGTTGAGACTCTTCTTGAGGGCGTCTAAGGGGCATGCTTTAATGTACCTATAAACTCTCCTTACTAGTTCTGTCAAACCTTGTGCTATCTCCCTCTTTATGTATGTCTTTTAGGATCTAGGTGTATGCAACTTGAAGCAAGTCTTTCTTTTACAATGGTTGGATGCTTATCCCAAATGCATGTATTGCAGATCTGTGATATTTATCATTCACCGTACTAATATTTGGTTTAACTGTGCAGGGTTCTGTGATCACAACAATAGGGTTTCTGAAGGAAGCTCCACATGTGAATGTCCATGGCTTCAATGTCTACCACAAGAACCGTTTAATACTGGTGACTAGTTTTGTTCTTTATTTATTTATTTTGGTGTGTTAGTACTTTAGTATTGGATTATGTTACTAGCATATGTTTACATCTGTTGCGCAATTCTTTCACTCATTGCCTTCTAAGATTAAAATGCAAAATGTGATTTGATGAATGTTGATCAGCGTAACTAGGAATCTGGATTAAGTCTTAGCCTACCTTGTCTGGATTTACATCTGTTGCAAAGTTCTTTTGCTCATTCTTCCTAAGATTAAAATGCAAAATGGGCTTTCCATTTATGATTTTCTTGAGAAGAAAGTTTTTGCCTGGCAGATTCTAGACTCTAAAGCTCTAAAAAAAATCCCACTTTCACTTTATTGTGCTCTTCTTTTTCTTTGCAGCCATTTTGGCATATTGTAAGCTACAATGACAAGAGATGCAGAGGGGTTGTTGGTGAGAAGCTTCTAAAGCACTTGTTATATTTTATCGATTTTGGTTTCAAATTATTGTTATGGTTGTTTGTTTCTTTCCTTCTTTTATGTACATATACATATTGAAAGGTTATTTCTATATAGTAATTAGAATTTTGGTGACTTCTGATTCTTTTAGGTGTACTGGAAGCAAATTTTATTGAGCCTACTCACAATAAGCAAGATTTTGAGAAAACTTCTGTTTTTCAAAAGCTTGAAAACCGCTTGAAGGAAATGACATGGGAATACTGGTAAGCTATATGTTCGGCATGTTATCACATTTAAAGGATTTTTATGTATGTGCAATTATGGAGTCTTATAATAGCTAAATCAGTTTGGGACTGTTGGCCTTCCATTTTTTCTTGTTTAATCAAAATAGCATCTTAGTTCATGTATTGCATTTGTATAATTTGATTGAAGTTTATTTCATTGTTCTGTAGAATTATTCTCTGGAGCTTTTCTTTCTTTCTTTCTTCTTCAACTTAAAATTATTGATCTTTAAGTAGAATTCCATTTCTGGTGATGACTCCTTTCTGTTTTATTTTTATTTATTTTTCATTTTTTTAAACTTGTTTTAATTCGTGCTTGCACCTTCGAAGTATGCGGAGGAAAAAATTCAGAGAGTTTATTTTAGGATACATAATAAAGAGATGATGTTCGTTGATGAACTTTGCAGGGATTACCATTGTGGACTCATTGGGTACCAGGTTAAGAAAAAGCCTCGAGAACCAATGCCTTCTATGTTGTCAGCTGATGGTAGACCACACAACGGTTTGCACCAACCTGTTGTGTTGAACAGTACCTCATCTGTAGGTGATGCTACAAGAGCAGCACCAGCAGGCCTAGCTCGTCGGTATCCAGGAGCTGTTTCCTCGAGTTTCTTAAAAGGAAGCCCCGGACAATCGTTACCCAACTTTCAAAGAAATTCCCATCAAGGTAAATGTTGTAATAAGGGTAACTTACACTGACCTCCCTTGAGGTTTCAAAAAAATACAAGAAGGCCCATAGTTTTGGCAAAATTACGCCGACTTCCTTTTTAGTAGATGGTGTAAAGACACCATGATAAACAAGGAAAAATATACATTTCAGTGTAAAAGAGATTAACAATTTCGTTTTTCCATCCATATGACCAATGAATTATTGATGAAAAGGGAACCAAGTGTTACATGAACTAAAACCTTAAGGAAACTCAATGTAATTATGCCAAAATTGTGAGGCTTACTGTATTTGCTCAAAACCTCAGGGGAGGTCAGTGTAATAAAGCCTTGAAATGAAGTAGAATATTTGTTCTGTAAGTCACCAACCTTTCCAATCTTTCTACCATACAATTCTTTTGTACCTGCACAGGAGAACAATTAAAGAGGAAAGAACATCATCATTTAGCGCAAGCTGAAAAGGTGAAAAGGAGGGCAGCAATCAACTTAATTGATACTGGGTCAGATCAGGAAATGGAGGTTTGTGTTTGGGAATCAGCGGTGTTCATTTCCTTGACAATGATCATTAGACTGCCACCTAAATATAAACTCATGAAAATTACGTGGAACCGAATCATTTATGATATGGATGCCCGTGCTTGCATTTTAGTCTTGTTTTATGGTAACTGCTTTTTATGTGGAAGCTCCCCTGCCCCCAACCAAATTAAAAAAATAAAAAATAAAAAAAATTCTTATATCTTCAGACTCTGGATGCCCACTCCACTCATTTGTTGTAATTTATGTTGTCTCAAATTATTATTATGAAACAGTGCTGCTAAATTGTGCACTTCCTGGTTGTTTATTGTGTATTTGGGACAGCAAATTACCTCTTACTGCAAAGACACTATTGGCCTCGTTAATACAGTTTACTGTGGTATGAAGTGCATTGCGGCTCTTCAATTAACTTAATTGAAAAGGTCTTTGAAACTTTTTAAACTCTAATGAAGCTGAAAGCCAAGTACACTACCGTAACTCTTTCCTTCTTACTCAACCGAATAGGAGGAAAAAGAAACTTCCATTTCCATGGATACTTTTTCCATTTTTTCTTACCTTCTTTATTGCTTCATTGATCATATAGATGGAGCATTAAACTTCCCTCAATTTGCATCTTGGTATCAAATTTCTTGCACCCTATTACATTCTTCACCAAGAAAAATCTAATGCTGAAGTTATTTTCTTTGCATTATGTTATGATATGAAGCCATCTTCTGACCAAAAAAATTACTTTTACTTTCTTCAGCTTCAGGAGGCTGTCCATACTACTGGAAATCAGTTAGAAGATCCGGTGGCCAAAAACCTGATGCAAGAAACGAGGAGACTCCGAGCACAGTGAGTGTCTTAAAACTTAATTTTATGACGGTATTTTGGTTTTGCTTGACTATATGTGTTGTTTTCCATTTTTTGGCTGGGCATAGTTTTACTTGACCATGTAGTTTCCATAAATCATGTGGATAGTTTATTGATGTTTTGGTCATATTTTGGAAATTTTGTTACTTGTGTTTATTTATTTATTTTTTTTCTTCAGATGCTTGGAATATGAGAAGAGGGAGGAAGAACTTAATCTCAAGGTTACTTCAAACTAATCTGCACTAGTATATTGTAGAAGCCTGTAGTTGGTTGTTAATATTTACAATTCTTGAATTTTTTTAGTTATGATAGTAGTTAAAACATCTAGCATTTCACTTGATGTGTTGGAAGTGAGTGTCTGATCACTGTACCAATGATTGATGCTTCGACATTTCCTCCTGAAGCTTCGAAGGCAAAATTCGGTCTTTTAGAACAGAGTTGTTGAGAAGCAAAAGGTGAAGAATAAATTTAACGAGAAATGTTAATTTTGTTTGTGCAGGTGACAGGGCTTACAAGTGAACTACGAGAGGCACAACATGAGTATGCCCGGCTGTTGACTGAATTAAAATTGTTCGAAAATGTCAAGGGGGAAAATAAAGTAGTGATTTCTTTCATTTGCTTTTCTTCAAGTTACTGCATTTTGAAAGCGTGTGCGTTTAGAATTGTGTAAATTACAGTTATCACCCTATGTTATTAGAACCCTCTGTTATTAGAACATGAACCCCTTATTTGGAAACAAGAGCCATAGAATATGATGATGTCATGCTATAAAATTTTGAAATTCCTACTTTATCCTGCTTAAAAGTCATAATCAGTCAAAAGAATAAAATATGAAAGTCATTCCACCTTTCATATCATATGTGTCCAGACAAATAATTTTTTTGTCACCAACATTTTTCCTCGTTCTCTCTACTTTTACTGGACCTAACAGTTTCTATGACCACCACCATGATTGAACTCTCAATTACACCACTATCATCACCAAACAACCACCTCATGGAAACCTCCTCTCTTTTTGTGCCAAACTGAATGCCTCACTACCGCCCATAAGCACCACTTCTTTTCTCTCAACTATGCTAGGAAATAAGAAGATTTTCACATAATGGGACACATATGTGAGACAAAAGGGGTGAGACCCATCTTTTGTCTCACATCTGTGTGCTATTATGTGAAAATCTTCTATGCACTTGGGCTTTCCTCTGCCAACTTAAGCACCCCATCACCACCTCTCCTCTCCTCACCAACTAGATCTTGCAATTGGGTCATGTCTCTCTCTCTCTCCACCCACGAAACCCAACAATGATTTTTTTGCACACCAACACCAACTTTGTTGGACCTTCTAGGTATTGAGAATCCATTTGCTTGTGTGAATAAGTAGTTTAGAATAAAAAAAATTGATTGGTCACAATGACGGACAAGGTCTAGTTTTACATTTTTTTTTTTAATTAATTTACTTTTTGGAGTTGCCTGTTGATGATATTCACGACCATTTTTTTGTGTAGGTTCGTTAGTTATCGCTGTGCATGCCTGCAAAGATGGAGAGAAATGCTGAATAGTCATGTTTTCTAGCAAAGTAGGCAAAATGGATTTGGTGTGTGGATGAGGCCATGACATTGCTCAGAATGAAGCAAAGACTGATTATAACAAAGTGCAACCATGCCCGGCTTTTGTCTGAAGAAAAGCAGGCAAAAATATTTTGACGATGATATTGTCGGCTGTCACAGAAGAGGCAGCCATGCAAATTGTCCCGAGCAAGGAAATTCCAAAATCACTAGGAAGAATGTGACAGTGAAGGCATGTGAATTCAAGTGTAACTTTTCATGTTTCTGGTGTTACAAACTTGCCAGGGTCATGGTGAGGTGTTCATGAGCAGTGGTTTTTGTCTAGCCCTACTGGGGGTGTTTTTGTTGATATAGAAAGACAAATATATATATATATATATGTAAAAATATGGAATTAAAGTGCACAAGTAAGCTCTCATCATGGTAAAATTAAAAAATAGTAACAATTAAAGTGCACAAGTTGATTACAAAGATTCTGGAAGCAGATGGTTTTACTAATAACTTTTGACAGTTGCGTTATTCAAATTTCAAATTTGTAATGTGTTTTATACTGTTTAAGCAATGAACTAATATGTATCCTAGTCTGTAAAGCTTATCCAATTCAAAAAAAAAAATTATATAAGTAATATGATGCGTCCGGACATGGGGGCTTTTTTCATATTAAGTCAAATTACTATCTTAATTCTCAAACTAGGCCTAGTCTGGACGGAATTTTCAAATTAGGCTAAAGTAGTATTACAAATCACGCTTTTACTGTTTGGAGTAGAAAATTTGATGAATAGTGAAAGCGTTATTACAAAAACACGTTTTTAATTAAGAAAACGTGGTTCCAAATCAAGCTTTTAAGGTAAATTTGTTTTCCGAAGAAAATGTGGTTCCAAACCACGCTTTCATTGTGCATATGAAGAAAATGTTGTTTCAAACCACGCTTTGTTAAGAAAACTTTTAAAATATATTAAAATGTGATCAAAATAAAACTTGAGTTCTCTGTAGCTCAAATGGTAGTGCATTTGTTTTGTCACGCCTCTGCGCAGGTTCAATCTACAGCAACTCCAAACAGTTGTTACCTTTCAAATTAAATTCAACTTTTTTTTTTTTTTTCCCCTTCCACTCACTCTATACTTTATATATTTATTATGTAATTTTTTTATTAAAAAAAAGTAAAATGTTTGTTTGGTTAACTAAATTTTTTTTCTATAAAATACAATTTTTTTCAAAATGTCAATATATTGTTTAAATCAGTGATCTCAGTAGTATTTGGGTTTGAGTTTTTAGAATTTATTTTTTGAAAACTGAGTTTTTTGATTTTCGTATTTTTTTGTTTTTGTGAATATTTTTAAAATTTTAAACATTTTTTTTTTGACTTTTTTAGATGCAACTTAGTTAGATGGTTCTAAAAAAGTAAAAAATTTGTGAAATAATATTTTAAAAATTAATAAATACATAAAATTAAAAAATTATAAAAATGAATTTTTTTTTTGTATTTTTAGTATTTTTTAGCAAATATTAATTTTTTCAGCAAAATGTACGCTTTTAAAATATTTTAGTACATTTTAAAAGCGTACATTTTGCTGAAAAAATATTTTTTGAGTACGCTTTCACTGTGCATATTTTTTTGAGTACATTTTGCTGAAAAAATTAATATTTTGCTGAAAAAATACTAAAAATACAAAAAAAAAAAATTCAGTATATTTTTTGTATTTTTATGTATTTATTAATTTTTAAAAATATTTTTTCACAAATTTTTTACTTTTTAGATACATCTAACTAAGGTGCATCTAAAAAAGAAAAAAAATGTTTAAAATTTTAAAAATATTCACTAAAAACAAAAAAATATGAAAATCAAAAAACTCAGTTTTCAAATAACTAAATTCAAAAAACTCAAACCAAATACACTGAATACTTTTTAAACAATTATGTTGACATTTTGAAAAAAAAATTGTATTTTATAGAAAAAAAATTTAGTTAACCAAACAAACATTTTACTTTTTTTTGATAAAAAAATTACATAATAAATATATAAAGTATAGAGTGAGTGGAAGGAAAAAAAAAAAAAAAAAGTTAAATTTAATTTGAAAGGTAACAATTGTTTGGAGTTGCTGTGGATTGAACCTGCACAGAGGCGTGGCAAAACAAATGCACTACCATTTGAGCTACAGAGAACTCAAGTTTTATTTTGATCACATTTTAATATATTTTAAAAGTTTTCTTAAGAAAGCATGGTTTGAAACCACGTTTTCTTCATATGCACAGTAAAAATGTAGTTTGGAACTACGTTTTCTTCAGAAAACAAATTTACCTTAAAAGCGTGGTTTGTAACCACGCTTTCTTAATTAAAAGCGTGTTTTGTAATAACGCTTTCCCTATTCATCAAATTTTCTGCTTCAAACAGTGAAAGTGTGATTTGTAATAGCACTTTAACCTAGTTTCAAAATTCCGTCCAAACTAAACCTAGTTTGAGAATTAAGATAGTAATTTGGCTTAATATGAGAAAAGCCCCCGTGTCGGGGCATGGCATGCCTGATACAAAACGGCATCTTCTTAAAAGTGTTCATGCAGTGAAAATTAGAAGAATGCAAGAGTAACAATTTAAGTTGACACAAAAAGGGATCTTCTAAGAAGTGTTCATGTAGTGAAAATTAGGAGAATGCAAGAGTATGCAATTTAAGTTAGCATCTGGGTTGAAGTATTTAAATGGAGAAATTCTATTTGCACACTATGATTTTTCTCAGTATACACCATTATTTAGTACACGTAATAATTTAAAAGTTTTAAAATTATCTTAATACATACCATAACTTTCAAGAGGCATCTGGTTGATTGATATCATCGTGAATTGGTAACTCTGCTGTATTTGGTTTTCACTTCATTGTTTTCACTTTTTGGTTCGACAAACGTTTAAACCTAGTTATCCAAACAAGCATATATCATTTGGTTTTGTTTTTGAACATAAACACAATGCACAGCTGTAAAATTAAAATAATTTTGAACGATACTTGCTTGTTCAGACTTCAAAAAGCTGAACACTTCCTATTTGTTCACATTAAGTTATTGTTCGGTTGTATTTTGTTGAACATGCGTTATTTGTTGATTTCTGAAAGTCCAAACATACCTGAAAATTTAGTCTCCTCTGTGAGCATTTCAACCAACTTCAATATTTGTTATAAGAAAAAAAAAAAGGGGGCAAAGTGAAAGTGAAAAGAAAAAGAAAAATAAAGGATAAATTACAAATACATCTCTTGAGGCTAGCATAAAATATAAATTTCCCATGTGATTATGAAAATTATAAATACTCCTTTGTCATAATTTTTTATTTAATAGGATTAACAAAAAAAAATCCGAACTATCCAACGCAACAATAAAATTATAAAATTTGTTAATTAAAATATGTTTCTGACGTCAATAAAAATTATTAATTAACTTAATAATTTATTAATAAAAATGGTCATTTATTATACGATTAGAAATTTGAAGGGGTGAGATGTAATTTTCAAAATTATAGGGAGCAATTTGTATTTAAGCAAACCTCAAAAAGTACATTTGTAATTTACTCAAAAAGAAATTAGAGAATTTAAAAAAAAAAAAAAAATCAATGATAAATTTAAAACCCAAACATAACATAAAAAACCGAAATTTCAGCAATGGATTGAACAACTGATTTTGGCTCAAACAACATGACTATGACCTATGAAAAGATCTCAAAGTACACAAGAAGAAAAGTGCTGCAGATTAGTTGGTTCTGGGTTTGAAAGTTTTCACTTTTGCCAATTTTAATTAGCAACAATTGGAAAAAGATAAACTGATAGGTCAAAAAGGTTAATCAAAATTAAAACAATTGTAGGCTTGAGCTTTAAATTAGAAAACTTCCAATCAATCATCAATTCACCATTAACAAAGACCGCATAGCCAATGTAAGGATTACATGCACATATTTTCCTAACTCCATAAATTCTTCGTAAAAAATCAACATAATTAAATGCGTCCACAAAACAAATCTATCTCCCTTTGTTGTACAAGGCTTAAGAAACATAAATCATCACAATTAAACTGCCTACTGGGTAAAAAACCTTGCCTAATGCATATGTTCATATTTGTTGTTGAAAGTCCTAGCATCCTGTTTGACATTCATTTTATTCTCAAAAATGGAGGATGAACCTTCACAACGTGTTCCACTTCCACTCATTGCATCAAAGAGACAACATTGAACCATGACAAATCCTTGACGTCACGAGAGTCTGGAGTGAGGTCGTACTCAGATGCATCATCTAGCGGACAATGCTGTGGATGAGGATACACCTCCTATGTTAGAGGATGCCATCGATGTTGTGGGAGATGCCGATGATGATGCTTCTGCCAATGAGGACATGCTTACCGGTCCATTTCCTGGATGCCCCGGCAACAAAAACACCTATAACAATCGAAAAGATTCCATTACTAATTTCATCATGAAATTTTTTTTAAAAAAAATATCTACATATTGGAATGCAAGGCATTAGTGTTGCATACTAAACCTGGAAGGTCGTTTTTTCTGTACTTGGACAGGAAAAAAATGTTAGTAAAACATCAATCATATGTACCTTCTGCTTGAAATGTCGTTTTTTGTTTACTTGGACAGAAGCAAGCGTAGTCATCTGGGTACCCTTAGGTGAGTGACTATCATGTCCAGATTGAACAATCTCAAATGCATATGGGTCACGACGGATAGATACATCAATCTTTTTATGTGCTGGACATCCTCGTGGATTGGGCTTCACATCAGGTTCAATGAGGAAAGTGCTTTCTGGATTTGCAATCTCTCCTAACTTCTTCAGAATTTCCAACTGCTTGGTGGTATCACAGTCATTGAAATACTTCACAATCATTTCCAACTCTGGTTTACAAGTCAACTCTAGTACTATCTCAAGTGTCCTCCAATGAGAATGGATGCTATAAATTGGTATTGGACGACCTTGTCTGATGTAATTGGCAATCTTGTGGGCACAAGGTAATCCATGGGTGTGTCGAATGACACATCCACATGCTGAAGAATCAATGCCAGTGAACTCAGCTCGCTTGCTCTCCACCAAGACAATCTCCAATGCAATAATAGATATATTACCCCGAAGCTCTCTGAAATGAGATGGTCGAAATTGGTGTTGTACAACTGTTAAACTCTTCTCAAATGATGCTTTAATATCAGTGTGCTGCAGCTCAAGCAAGTTGTGTATTTTGGTCCAAGAGCACTCAAAATCCACTTGGCCAGAACAGAGTTGCCTCTTCAGTTTTGCATGTGCTTTCTCAACCCTGTGTATAACAAAGGTCATTAAAAAAGGAAGTCTTAGTATTCAAAATCATAATGATTAATAGGATAAGACAAAGATACATAATTATTACCGGTCCGATGTTACATTCCCGCAGTGCATACAACTGTTTGTCCATACCGTCACAAATTTCTCCTTGTATGGATTCAACCAAGTTTGTGTGACATAATCAATTGCCTCGGGATATGTACAAAACTCCTTAAGCATTGTGGCAAGGTGTTCATTGTATTCACCTTCAGTGGAGGAGAGTACTACAAAATCCACTTGGCCAGAACAGAGTTGCCTCTTCAGTTTTGCATGTGCTTTCTCAACCTTGTGTATAACAAAGGTCATTAAAAAAGGAAGTCTTAGTATTCAAAATCATAATGATTAATAGGATAAGACAAAGATACATAATTTTTACCGGTCCGATGTTACATTCCCGCAGTGCATACAACTGTCTGTCCATACCGTCACAAATTTCTCCTTGTATGGATTCAACCAAGTTTGTGTGACATAATCAATTGCCTCGGGATATGTACAAAACTCCTTAAGCATTGTGGCAAGGTGTTCATTGTATTCACCTTCAATGGAGGAGAGTACTACAAAATTCCATGAATTATCTCTTGTCTCAAACATCTTCTTGCATTTTGTCAATATATTCCTACTAATTTGCCACCAACATAAGAAATGTCTGGATGTAGGAAACACCCTATCAATGGCATTCATCAAGGCAAATTTTTTGTCTGTGACAATCAGCTCAGGGAGGGCAATGTCATTCATGAGACTACGTAGTGTATTTAATACCCATATGTAGTTATCGACATGCTCAAATTGGATATACGCAAAAGCTACAAAGAATGACATGTTTGTAGATGTCACACCTATGATCTTGAGTAGCGAAAGACCACATCTGTTTGTCTTATGGATGCAATCCATGATCAATACAAGGGGAAATGAACGAAGAAAATCCAAGCTCACAGAATGTGCCCAAAATAAGTCTGTGATAGTCATATTTTTCTCCTCACACCTATGCCGCTCAATGTAATTATGTTTTTCCAATTCACCCAACAGCTATTGCATCTGTGAACTCCCAACCATCTCTACTACCTGTTGCTTATGATGTATGTTGTAAATTGTTTTCATTGTGGTGACATTTAAGGCATCCCTTTGTTTCAAGGTGATCAAAATCTCTTTCAGTCTAACCATACTCTTTGACATATCTACTAATATTGAAGTTTTCTCCTCTAATAATCTCCCTGCATATGAATGTCCCTCGAGATGTTCTGCAAGTGGATGGTTATGCACTCCTCATGCCACATCCAATATCCAATCATCACCTGTCATCAATTTGTGAGCCCTCAAATCAAAGGGACAACCACACTTCTTTGTCCTGGTTAACTTTGAAATCATATTCTTTGAATCTACTTTTGGTTTCTTTCTAACTCTATATTGTCCACTTCTCTCACAAGCAAGATATATTCTTGGTCTCCTACGACCACCACCATAATCCGATGTCTTGATCAGAATAACAAAACCACTTCTCTTACCAACCTCCTGTACCCAACTAAGCAATTCTTCTTTACTTTTGAAAACCTACATGTAAAGGGAAAAAAATTATTTACTACACATACGAAGACAAAAAAGTTGTTTATATTGATGTGTGACGGGAGTATACCTCTTTAGTATCAAACTGACTTGTGTAGTCAACAATACATTCAGTTCCAACTTTACTACATGGGGTGGATGCATCGTTCTACAAAAATTTGGAAAAAAAATTAAAAATTAGAACTGTTCGAAAATACAGAGTCATACAAAATTAATATGTTTCAAACATTTATATCCGAACAAAGGATAAATGTTCGTTTCTTTTTTTTTTAATCCAAACAAATACAAGATGTTCGGGTTTTTTATGTATGAACAACTAATAGTTGCCTGGCCTTATTCATTTGAACAAAATATTTGTCTGAATATAACCATCCAAGAATTGTGTTAATATTCGATCCTAGTTATCCGCACGAGTGTCGATCAAAACTATATTTCGACTTACTATACGAACATAAAATGAATAAATAAATAAATGTAAGCAGCAAACTGACCTTTTCATTGCTGCATTGCTCCAAAGCAACAAAATGAGTGTCATCCATGGTGTGCAAATCTTCAAAAATGATCGATTTGAATGTTTTTAAACCTTAAACCCTAAATCTTCAAAGACAACAACATTTTTGCATTTAGGGAAGTTGGATAATGGAGAAGAGAAGTGATCTTATAAGTGTGTTAGATGATAATGGCGGAGATGATAAGTATTGGAAAATGATAATGTAGTAGGTTATATGTTTACAAGTAATGGTATACAAAGAGAGCTTTTGTATTTTGAGGTGTGTACTCAAGTTCTTTAACGCTGTGTTTGGTTCATGAATTTGAGTAGGGATTTGAAAAGGAAAAGTGAAAAAAATAGGTGAAATGTGAATAAAATATAACTATATTTCACCTGTATTTCACACAACTTTTCCCTTTCACATTCCAAATCCATGAACCAAAGACCAACTAAATTGGTACAAGCAAGGTTTTGAAAAACAGTAGCAATTACGGTCACCGTAACGGTTGCGATGACGCAGTAGCGGTTGCGGGATGTAAAGGTCGTAGCGTAACGGTTATAGTAACCGGAACAGTGATTTTTTTTATTTTTCTTACAATTTGAAGAAAACTTATCGATACGCATATTTTTTTTTTTTCAGAATCACATTTATTGGGGTTTAAAATAAATTTTGATCAATTTTTGTTAATTTTTATGTATGATCCAATATATTTCATATTTTCAAATCACTATAAAATGAGTTTTTTACATTTTACTTCAATAGTTAAAGATTTTAAGAATAATTAATTTTAAATATTTACAAATTATTTGTTACCAATATCTGAACTAATTGAATATAAAATATTCACCATTATTAAATGAAAGGAATATAAAATAAAAATGGTGCCATTAATTTTATAAAAAATAAAAAAAATTATATAGAAAAAAAATTCATACAAGATTTTTTCTTTGGATTTGGATCGCTTGTTCTTTTTGTAAGCTTCTTTTTTGGGGGGGGAAAGAAAGCTATTCAAATATGGTAAAAGGGTGTAACGGTGTCTAACGAACCGTTATGGCCATTACATAACACCGAAACGGCTGTTACCCATGTGAATTTCAGTCACACCGCGATAATAGCCGTAACGGGTACATAACGGTTGTTGTCGCTTTTAAAAAGCTTGGTACAAGACACACCATGATAGTCCTTAATAGTCATTGACAAATCATGATGTGCAAATACAACTTCCCATTTACATGGTATGGATTTGAATTTGAGTACCAAATTTTCAAATCTTTAAAGATTTGAAAGAACTGGACTTAGAATTCAGAAAAACAACCAACAGAAGATTTATCTATAGATAACTGAGAAAATTTCATATACAGTTAAAACCAATTACCTCCATCGCACAAGTTTAAGAAATTATATGGCTTTGAAAACCCTAATAAAATACAGATATAATCACGAACTGTTTTTCTTAACAAAACAGAGAGCATGCAAACAATTTGCAGGTATTGAAATCGAATGCCAAATACCTGCGAACTTCTTATGTAGAAGAAAGTCAGCAGCAATTCAGTCCGTGTAGAGACTCACGAGGATTGCTCCTGAATTGCTTTTTAAGGAGAACCCGGATGATTTGGAGGGAACTTAGGCCACGTTTGGAAACTACCTTTTCTTGAACAACACGTTTGGAAACTTTCTTTCTTTCTTTCTTTTTTACACATTTTTATTTTTATTTTATAAAATGTCTAAAAATTAATTAAAATAATCAGTTCCAAAAAATATACCGATTTGAGGAATTTTCTCGAGAAAGCTGTGAAGTGTAGGAAAATGGAGAAATTCGGAAATTTTGAGGAATGGGTTTTAGCCTTTAGGAGTTGAGAGGAGAGTGAATGAGAAGGCTGGTTTTTTTTTTTTTTAGAATTTTATTTATTATTAAAAGTTAATTTCACTTTTTATTATTTTTTAAATTATCAACAAATTTTCTATTTTATTTCTAAGTTATTGATTTTATTTATTTAGACTCTAAATTTTATAAATTTTATTTGTGTTTTGAAAGAAAATAAAAATGGCAAATGGTGATTGATGTGAAATGATGACAAGGGCATCCAATAATTTTTTGAAATTTAAGGTAATTTCACTTCTCATTTTATTTTATAACAAAAATCTCACTCTATATTTACTGCGAAATCTTATCAAATAAATTTAAATATGTTAATTCATCTACAAATCAATTATGTGTTAAAGCTCAAACATTTTCACTCCATAAAAGTCTCAAATATAAATCCTCTAAAAAAATTATCCCATAATAATCTCTTTAAATTCCTAATCACTAGTCACTTGTACAAAAGATCATCTATTTAGAATATAACCGCAATTTATTAAAAAAGAATTTGTTTACATCTAATTAACATTTAGACGGATGGTGATTAATTTAAAGGTTCTTTCACCGGTTCTCTTAATAAGAGTACACATCAACCAATTCAAGTTATATTGTACTGAAAAACTCTCACTAAAAATTTATATATTTGTCAATATTATATATATATATATATATATTAACAGGCCAGGCTCGACTAAGGTTGAATCTCAAACCCAACCTAACCGACCAAAATAATATTCTCAACCCTAAAAATGTAGGACTAAGCTAGGCAGATTAGTTGGGCTAATAGGCCGATGCACACCTCTACATCGTAGCTCCACAGCACAAACTCAACTAATGTTGACAAAGGGGAGGGAGAACCAGAATGACCAAACATGCGAGATAAACAGCACTCCTAATAGAAGTAGTAGGTATTCCTCAATTAAGACTAGTAATTCCTATGTTCTTTTCCAATGCATAAATACATTAAACTCATTTGATGATAAAACCACAGTGCAATTAAAAATTACAGAATTCAACCAGCTCAAGACAATGAGAAGAACCCCAGTCCAAATCTCAAAATGGGGTCAATCTCTACCTTTGGGGATTTAAAAGCCAAAAAAGCCCTTAAATCTCAATGTCTTGTGCTCTCACAAACATCTCTGAAATTACAATCCCCAAAACTTATATCAGATTTGCCCTCTTAAGGAACCTGATTGTTCTGCAATAATAAGGCCATATTGATTCGACATAATCCAAGTACTTCTCTGACGCCCACGCTCCCAAATTTTTCATCTTTATTTTCAATAGCTCTTTATAGTCTAAGTTCTTAATGTCCACCAAGGGTTGCAATAAACGAGCACGCATGTTCTCTTCAAGCTTTCCACTAGCAATATAACTATATGCCACCAAGTAGTAGGTTGGTAAGTTCTTTACTACTTTAACCGTCTGCTTGAAGGTGAAAACATAAAGTGCGCATAAGCCCCGAAGAATCTTAATGTAGAGAGCGACAATCAAAGGCCCCAAAACCCACAAAGGCATCAACTCCTTCGAAACTTCAGCTCCGTAAACCACTTTAACTGCCAGGTAAAAAGGGACGCTGCAAATAAAAGAACAATAATCAGAACTAACAAAAATATCTGTAGCATTAATGAGTGACATAGAAAATGTTTAATAAATGTTTCAAGTTATCCACATCCAATAATAAAAATAATGAAAATAGTAGAACCTCGACTCCAAAAAGTTAGGATGTTAGATATGTTGACAATCCACAAAACTTACAGAACAGCATGGAAACCTATTCGTTAAACCTATTTTCCTCCTAAAAGTAATTTATTTGTTTTTTAAAATTTCATTAAATAGACAGGACAGAGATTTAATTGCAACATGCCATTTGACATAGAATCAAGTAAAGCTAATGTCGTTCTTCAATCAATTATCAATAGATAGGAAACAAGAATTCCCAATCCTCGAATATGGAAGTTTTCACTTTAACTACAGGAAAAACAGACACAGGACCATTCCACTCACAAGAGAGTTAGAAAACCTTGATCCCAAGTAAAGAATACACATCTTCAGTTAAACAGTGAAAAATGGTGTGGTTCTTTTTTTTTGTTTTTCTTCTTTTTTTGAAATTAATAACAAGGTCCTACTGTCAATAAAGATGTGAACTTCAAAAAATTTGGGAGAGAATGAGAAAAAGAGAGAAAGGTAGTCAGGTTTAAACCATTATACTTACAATATCAATAACGGTATCTTTACTGTCGCATCCAAACCCCAAAAAAAGCACCAAACCGCCTTTAGAATCTCACCTCTTTCTTTCTCTTGTGTCCCATTCTGCATTACTGATATTTTCCCCGAGTCTGGTCCCTCTAAACTTTCATCCATTACTTCATTCGGTGGTTGCGTGCGCAATAGCATCAACCAATTTTTGAACAAATTTTGTATAGTTGAAGATCCTGCTATTGTCTCATCTGCTTCAGAGGCACAGGAAAGCGGAACATCCTGCATCTTTGGAGACTCTGTCAAGGTTTCTTCACTCCCATGCTGTACATAAGAGATTTTGACGGAATTCTTGGCCGACTTGGATCCACTTGCTCTGCCCCCTGATTCATCATTTTGGGAATTGCCTTTAAAGGCTGAAACCCTCAAAGATTTTGCCTTTGGTCCTCGGATAAGAGGAGCTGCTACACTGGAAAAAAGGTTGACTAATTTGTTCAAGATATAAGAGTAAGAAAGTTTTTTTTTTCTTTTTTCCTTTTTCTTTTTATTTTGATAACAGCAGAAACCAATGATTAGTGGGACAGGAATAACTGAATTGTACACAATTTTATCTGATGATGCCCTAAGAAGCACAGATTTCCAAAAACATTAAGATGCATGACAAAAAATATATTTTTATACATTTATATTTGCTATGTATATAAATATAAATTTAAGGCACCGATATGTAAGGCATCAATGTGTACGTGTGAGTGTATTTTTGTTTTTTTTCCCACTTTTCCCCTCTATGTTTTTATATATTTTGCTGGACCCCAAATCAGTTTTCTAAAATTATTATTAAAAAAAAAACCTCCACAAATGTATTTTGAGTGGCCAACACATGACACACATGTCCGTGAAAGGTCCACTAAATGTCCTGCAAAAAAATTAGCATGCCACATGATGTGTTCGAAAAGTGGACACGCCTGCGGTGTGTCGATGTCTGATACATATGATACCCATTTTGAAGTATCCGTGCTTTCTAGATGATGCCTCGAAAAGACAACGAAATGTCCAAAGAAATATGGATGGGCCCATATCCATTTAGTTATCCACCACACTAATAACCACAACAAACTATCCCTTGCACTTGGAAACAAGACAAACATAAAAGGCACCACTCACCTTAAACAAGATTTGCACCTTAGTGAAAGAAACCTGTCTGTTTTTACAACCATGTGAAGTGTTGTTACAAATCGTTTCAACGCTATCCCTTTGTTCCATGGTACTGGACTTGAGGGAAATGTTGCATAAGAACCCTGAAATTGAATGCCAACTAAGAATCATAAGTTCCTCCAAATTGTTCAGTCATTCAATATTTAGAGTCATTATTTGATAAATGATAGGTAAGCATTTAAAGCATATATAAGTGCTTTTAAATTAACAGTTATAGTTTATATCTTCTTTTATGGATGATTTATTAAGTATTTAAATATAAAAATAATAATATTCATTCAACATTCATCAAAAGTACTAAATAAAATGGGAGAAAAGACAACTTGACATGTCCCTATTGTGTCCCCAAAGTGTCTCCTGAAAATAAATTAATTAAATAAGGGAACACATCATGTGGTCTGTCCCATACATATCTCCGAAGTGTCCGCGTGTTCCCGAAGTGTCCGTGTATCCAACACGGATACAACACTTGTTTTGAAGTGTCGATGCTTCATATGTGTCAAATGAATGCATAGGTTCCAACAAGCATTGCAAGGTCACAAATGTAGAATTCCAATCACCATACATACAAGCTATACATGTATATATCCTATTGCATAGCAACACTGACATTAGTATGGCAAGCAGTTTTGGAGTGGGAGAAGGTGTGATTTGACTTCTTTGAAATAATGACACTAGGCTATATGAGAGACGGTATATGAAGATCACTTGACCCAAAAGAATGGACAGGAAATAACTGCTTTTGAGAAAAATTACAATGTGAGGCATGTGCATAAAGACAACAGCAAACAATAATTTTTATGCTTTGATACTTAAAACATACAAAAAATTCAATAATATGCAAACAATTTTTGCACAAGCTCAATAAGTTCAAATTCAAATATTCTTTTGTTAATTTTGTTAAGAGACATAACAAATATACTATCTTTTTTATTAGCTACAGAGAAAATTGTAAGAGAATGTGCTGAACGAGAAAAAGAAGAAGAAACTAAAAATAATAATAAATGTATCACCCCTTCTACAACCCAAAAACAACAAAAATACCAACTACTAAATTTCATCAAAATTGCACCATCTTCACAAAAGGTGCTTTTTCAGCTTCTGACATCAATCTCCATTTTTTTTTTTTTTGTTGATAAATAAGCAAAATATTTATTGAGAGAGCATCAAGATGATGCAAAGAATACAATAACTAGCCAAAAGCTAGAAGCACCCAACCAGAACTACACAAAAACATCAAGGCAAAGAACAATGAAGACTAATGCTAAATTGAATCCTCTACAAAATCAACAAAAGACAAAACGTCCGGGTCTATTGACAACAACAGCCAACTGTGCAACACAAGAAACAAACGCCGCTCCAACCAGACCATAGTATGCATCTCCCCTAAGAAAATCCTCCTATTATGCTCCAACCAAACTAGCCACATAAGACACTGACCAGCCAATAACCATGCCTTCCGCCTTCTCTTTCCCACCCGCCCCCCAACCCAGCTTTGTAACATCGCCCCCACTATCTCCGGTTGAACCCAAGCCAAACCAAAGATAGCAACTATAGACACCCAAAGTCGTAAAGCCACCGGACAACAAATAAGCAGATGGTCCACCGTCTCCGCAGCTCCACAACACTAATTTGCCAAAATATGACCACGACGAATCAAGTTATCAATCGTCAAAATACGACCTAATGTTGTTGTCCACACAAAGAAGGCCACTTTAGGCGGACAACCCACCACCCAAACACTCTTCCACGGGAATGGCACCCCAACCCCTCCTGTAAGCCTATGGTAAAAAGAAGAAACAAAAAATACCCTTTTAGACTTTAGGCACTCCCACCTCATAGAATCCTCGCCAACCCCTCCAAACCGAAGACTGTACAGAAAACCCAACAGATCCAAAGATTGCCCCTCTTCCCAATCCTACACTTCACGACGCAGTCCACACCACCATCTGGCCTTTGCACCTGGGAATAAGAAGCCACTGTCGCCTCCCGATCAAGCACAATACGAAAAATCAACAAGAACCTCACCTCCAAAGGACCCTTGCCACACCTTGCCACACCACCAATCTCGCCAAAACCGAACTTGGTCCCCCACCCCAACCCGAAAACTTACTCTGTTCCAAAATTCCTCCCGGCCCAACCAAATACCCTTTCACAAACTACACCCATACGACTGTCGAATCTCCTCCGTACTCAATCCCCCCTACCCAACCCATATAGCCCCTACCACCTTTCGCCACAACCTCTCCCTCTCTACCCCAAACCGCCATAACCACTTCCCCAAAAGAGCCAAATTAAATGAAACCAAACTCCGAATCCCTAAACCCCCCATCACCTTAGGAGAACAAATCTAATCTCCCAAACATACAAGTTTTTTTTACCTACCTTTTTAGCCAAATAGCCAAAAAGTTACTAAATTAGCCTGTTCCCAAACGAGGCCTTAGCCCCTACCACCTTTCGCCACAACCTCTCCCTCTCTACCCCAAACCGCCATAACCACTTCCCCAAAAGAGCCAAATTAAATGAAACCAAACTCCGAATCCCTAAACCCCCCATCACCTTAGGAGAACAAATCTAATCCCAAGCTACTAGATGATACTAGAAAGACTCAGACCCTCCACCCCATAAGAAATCTCTCTGTAGCTTCTCCAACCTCTTTGCAACAGACACTGGAATGACATAAACTGACATAAAATAAGTCAGAATGCTCGAAAGGACACTCTTAATCATTGAGACTCGCCCCCCTTTCGATAAAATCGATTTCCATTTTAACTCCCCAGCTTTGTCAATAGCTACAGAAGAATTAATATCCAAATAACTTTCATGAAAACTAAGAAAGCACTAACTAGCTTTTATGTAACACAAAATTCTCAACCAAACACCCATCTGATGTAGAACTAAGAAGACGAAGGGCACAATACCCACTCTAGGGTTCAGAAAATATATTCTCTCACAATATTTATTCATTCAAAGGTAACTAAAACCATTACAAGTCATATACATATAGGCATAAGCACCATCTAATTAGAAAATTCAGGTTTAGAAAAACAAGGAATTGAAAACTATTAATAAAGAAACAAAATCATATTGAATCATAATTTCTAATTTCACTAAATTCATACATTCTTCAATTTACTATCATCCAATGTATTTTCAATCCCCATCTATCTATTAAATGATAGGATCGGAAAGGCATTGGATGACAACAAATTAAAGATATAGGAATTTCAAAGTCATATGAAGGAGGCAAGCATGCCAATTTGATTCAAATCATAGTGATGATGTTTCAAAGCAATGAGGTCATATCAAGAAGGAAACCATGTTGTTCAAATAGAAATTATGAATCTATTTTGGCTCCAATACAAAATGACATAAAACCAAGAAGACAAATGATACAATAACCACTCTAGGGTTCCAGAAATATATTGGGCTTGTTTGGTTTGTTTTTGGGAGAGTTGTTTTTGAAAAAAAAAATTCAAAATATTGTTTGGTTTGTGATTTTTCTCAAAAAATTTCCAAAATCACTTTCTCTCTCTTATACATCAATCAATCACTTTCTCTCTCTCTTCTCTCCTTCTCAATCACTTTTTCTCTCACACAAATCTACTCAATTACAACAAAATATCAAATCATCCTAAACTCCCAAACTACTTTCAAAATATACAACCAAACAAACCAAAAAAATTTCTTTGAAAATTACTCTCTCAAAAACAAACCAAACACACCCATTATCTCTCAATATTCATTCATTCAAAGGAACCATTACAACAAGCCATATATATAGGCCTAAGCACTATCTAATAAGAAAAATAGAATAAAATCCCTATATTCTTCAATTGGCTGTCATCTAATGGCAATCCGATCCCCATTATCTTTCTCATCTCTCTACACCACTGAAGGCCCTTCCTCTTGTGTTGACTGTAATTCACTGTACATTGAAGCCTTCTAAGTTCCCTATCCTATCTTGAGGATGAATTTCCCTCTTCCTCTTTCTTGGAAGCTTTCCGGATCTCACTACTCTTTACCCTAACAGCTTTACCGTCCTTAATACTTGCGCACTCCTCATTCTTCTCTTCCAGCATTTTGCGTTCATCACCAAACTCTATGACCTTCCTAACCATTAACTCGACTCGATCATTGCTCAGGTTACCACCCTTATCATTAGTAACAACCAAGGTTCTGAAAAGCGGTTGCGATCGCCGTAACGGTGGTGGTGACGCGGTTGCGGTTGCGATTGCGGGGTGTAAAGGCCGTAGCATAACGGTTACGGTAATCGGAACTGTGAATTTTTTTATTTTTCGCACAATTTGAAAAAAACTTGCCGATATGCACATTTTTTTTCCATGATCATATTTATTGGGTTTTAAAATAAATATTGATCAATTTTTATAAATTTTTAAGTTTGATCCAATATATTTCGTATTTTTAAATCACTATAAACTGAGTTTTTAACATTTTATTTTAATAATTAATAACTTTATATTATACAAAAAATCAATCACTAACTATTATATATAAGATAAACAATGACAAAAGTAAGAAAATAAATAAAAGCTTAAATATATATATATATATATATATATTTTAATCAAGCCAAATAGATAATGACCACACTTATTATTATTATTTTCAAACAATATATAGATAGACACACACAAACAAAATGGTTGAGTGATATAGGTCTTATAACTTCAACAAATCAATAACATGTTCTTCATCTTCCCTCTTCTCTCTCTCTATCCCTTGCTCTTCCATCTTCTCTCTTATCTTTCTATCTCTCTTCCCCCATTTTCAATTTATTTTTTTTTTCGTGTTTTTTCAAAAGAAGCAATTCGGAACCGTTACGTAATGGTGCATAACAGGCCGTTACAGCCGTTACGGCACCGTTACGACCACTATAGCGGCCGCTACGACCGATACACCTGTAAATCTCAATCACATTGCAAAAGCGGCCGTAACGGATGGCGGCAACCACCACAACCGTTACGTAACGGTTGCGGCTGCTTTTTAAAACCTTGGTAACAATGAACTTCTGTACACAACCATAAATCTTTTCTTCCTTCTTGAGGACTAAAAAACCATTGGCACTAAAATCAAAAGAAACATCATATTGACTTGGATCCATTGGATTCCAACCTTTCCCTATACCAATCCCCTGCTGCGAAAGTGATTGTTGTAACGAATCAAAATTACCTTCTTTCTTAACCCCTACTCCATTCAAGGAAAAAAAAAATAGTCTAGCCCAAGTTAATGTATGCATAGCTCAAGATAATCTACTTAGGGAATATAATAAATATAGGAAACGTATACAAACATGTTATATACAATCTATAGTAATAACAAAAAATGATTATGATATCTCAAAGATCTTTTTTCTAAAATTCCTGTTCGGTCTACTTATATTATACCTCTCCTCAATAAATATTAGGACTCATACATGTGATTGAATAACATAAAATGTGTGTTCTATACAACGATTCCCCCATTCAATTGATTTTATTCAATTCAACGATTGATGAAAAGTAAATTTTAATAAATAATAAATTGCATGAACTGAGATCAACCAAATTCCTTAGTTGCAAAATCAACATTAATAGCAGACACTAACCCCTTACATAACAACTGCCTACCTCATCCTATTCTACAACATCTATCTTCTCATCGAGGTTCAATAATGGTAAAGTCCCCTCTCCATGAAAATCATTATTTAGAAAATTGATTATTCTCTTCATCTTCCAAATACACAGACCACCTCTTGTTCTGCTAATAAAAAGATGTCCCATTGTCCCAAGCCAAACAAGCCCCACAACCCACTCTAGAAGCAAGAGCCGAAGAGGAAAAGAGTAAGGGTTGGACCCTCGTCATGGAAGAGAGACCTGCGTGTGGTAAGTCCCTAAATAGATGAACAGATATTAAATAGGCCTTAGGTTTGGAAAGATGCTGATTCTCAAAATACAAAGAATCAATGGGCCTGGGCTGGAAATTAAGGAAATTAAAACCAGGTCTAGACACATGGCCCAAAGTGGCTCCCTTGATCTGTTTACCTTTACTCCAATCCAAAACCAAAGCTACATCTGACCCATGAATCCAACTATCCTGGCCACATGCCATAACCTGGTCCATAACCTACCAACCCTCTCCAACTTTACAACACTCACAAAAGCAGGCAGCACTGTTACAGCTTCCAATACAAGCAACACCCTACAGCCCCAGAGACTTTGGCGAACAACTACCACACACATGGCTACAGCAAAGGAACACGACGCATCACCTTCAACCCCTTTTCCAGCTCCCCTTCCATGTTGACTCTCTTTACTAAAATCATTCTGCTCTACTATCAGCTCCACCCATTTACCTCACCTATCCTCAAAAGCTTAACCTCCACATCAACTCAACCACATTAAATCATTGCACTAGTAATTCAAATCCAAAACAATCAAGAAGTCAGGAAACTTTGATCATAAAACAATATAGTTTGACATAGAATAATATATATTCTCAATAAACCAAACCAAGCCTTAAATCCCATCAAATGGGGTCGACTACATAAATCCTTCTTCTCCACGCGACCCTATCAAAGGCCATTTTGTTAGTCAAATTAAATAGATCCATATCTCTATTTACAACGCTAACCAACGTTAATCTAAGCCTATCCCGTCCCCTAACACTTTCATCTACCATTACAGCATCGCATCTCTTCACTACTATTTTTGTTGGTCTCCGTTGAATATGACCAAACTATCTCAATCGATTCTCTCTCAACTTATCTTCTATCAGTGCTACTCCTACCCGTTCTCAATTACACTCGTTCCTAATTCTGTCTTGTCTAGTCTTGCCACACATCCACCTTAGTATTCTCATCTCAGCCACACTCATCTTATCTACATGTTGTTTCTTGGTTACCTAACACTTCGTCCCATATAACATCGTTGGTCTAATAGTCGTTCTATAGAACTTACCTTTAAATCTAGTGGGTATTCGTTTATCGTACAGGACTCCAGACGCACTTCTTCACTTAAACCATCCCGCCTTAATCCTATGAGCCACATCCGCATCAATCGCCCCTACTGTTGTGATAATCGACCCTAAATAACTAAAATGTTCACTCTCAGACAGTTCTTGGTTCTCAATCTTCACTTTTCTTCTACTTTCATTGTTATTGTTACTGTTACTAAATTTACACTCCATGTACTCTGTCTTAGTTCTGCTTACCCAGAATCCTTTAGATTCAAGAGTTTTTTTCTAAATCTCCAACTTTGTATTAACTCCTTCTCTAGTCTCATCCACTAACACTATATCATCTGCAAAAAGCATACACCATGGCATGTCAACCTAGATATTTCACGTCAACTCATCCATAACTAAAGCAAAAAGATAAGGATTTAAGGTAGATCCTTGGTGTAACCCTACAGCGATAGAAAATTCATTTGTCTCTCCAGTAAGTGATCTAATAGTGATCATCACCCCTTCATACATGTCCCTAATCACATCAATGTAAGCTTTTGTCACTCATTTCTTCGCTAACACCCACCATATTATATTCCAGAGCACTCTATCATATGCTTTCTCAAGGTCGATAAACACCATATGAATGTCTCTTTTTTTTTCTCTATACTTTTCTATTACTTTCCTCAAAAGATAGATCGCTTCCATTGTTGACCTGCCAGGCATAAACCTAAATTGATTCTATGACACCTCTGTTATATCTCGCAATCGGCATTCTATCACTCTCTCCCACACTTTCATTATATGACACATTAGCTTGATTCCTCTATAGTTGTTGCAATTCTAGACATCCCCTTTATTTTTATAGATTGGCACTAAAATATTCTTCCTCTACTCATCTGGCATGTTACTAGTCAACAAAATTTTACTAAACAACCTAATCAACCAAGCAACCCCTTTTTATCCAAACACTTTCAACCTTCAATAGGGATATCATCTGATCCAAAAGCCTTATTTGATTTCATCTTCTTAAGTGCAATCTCCACTTCAACATTCTCAGTGTTAGTCGATATTGCATCAAAAAATCAGAATAATGCACATGTTCAACACGTGTAATCTTCCACATGCTCTACATGAAAAGATCTAAAAATGCAACTTTCCTCTCAAAATTGTTTCCAACACCACTTGTCCTGTAATCACACATTCTTCCAAAACTAACAGCAAATTTGCAATCATCATATCTATAGTGTCCACTTATGTTGTCTCCGACAATAAATGTTTACGATACCCACATAAATAGAAACATATGCGAATTTTTCACGTAAAACAAAGAGAACTTTCAATGACCCATAAGCTCTATACACCTGTGCTTTTCACAAATTACATCAATTAAGAAAATGAAATATCATTGCCAATGCTTTGTTTACCTGCATCTGATGGGTTACCAATGCCATTATCTCTGCCGTAAGGTCGCAATCATTTACCCAAAAATTTAAAAAGTATACCCAACACTGCGAGCACAAAAATTCAACGAAGTAAACATCAATAATTCATTCAGACATAAAAATCATAATTCAGACTTCGAAATTCAAGCATAACCAAAACTTCAAGACATAAGTCGAATCAATTACAGCAGAATTCAAATTACAGTGCTTTATGCTTGTTTATTCGCGTGCCCGCGTGTATATATATATATATAGAGAGAGAGAGAGAGAGAGAGGTGGGTACTTACAGGAGATTATGATCTATGCTCGTTGTCAAGGGGAAGAGAAATGGAGAGATAATGATGATGATATATGCAAGAATTGATGAAGTACAACAATTGTAGAATTGAATTGAGAGAGAGAGAGAGAGAGAGGTGGGTTTGGATAGAGAAGACGAGGAGAGAGGAGGTAATGGTGAAATTAGGGTTTTAAAGAGAGACATTTTGATTGGTTTTTGGTTTTTTTTTTTTTTTTTTTTTAACAGTGGATTATAAAAGCTAAAAAGAGGGCATCACAAATTCAGAAGTTTGTATTTTTTGTCTGTCTTTTTTCTTTTAGATGGGGGTAGATAAAGTAACTCAAAAAAGAAAAATCAATTCCATCTTTAAGAAAAATTAAAAAAAATAAAGGATAAATTATAAATATATTTTTTGAGATTTATTTAAAATACAAATTTTTTTTATGATTTTGAAAATTACATTCCACTTCCTAAAATTTTTAATTTCATAACAAATTGCTAATTTTATTAATAAATCATAAAGTTAATTAACAGTTTTAATTATGTTAGAATTATATTTCAATAAATAATTTATATAATTTTATTATTATATAGAGCAGATATGATTTTTATTTTTTTAGTTAATTTTGTTAAACAAAAAAATTTAACAAGGAATATTTATAATTTTTCAAACTACAGGGGACAATCTGTACTTTCGCTTAAACAAATTTTTAAGAGTATATTTATAATTTACCCGAAAATAAATGTAGTAGAGGCAGAACCGCCAATTATTCAATTTTTTTTAAAGGAGAGCAAGTAATTAGATGGTCAAATGACTCTCTATTCAAAATAAGCTCAACTAATAGTATTATAAAAAATAATTCTTTTATTTTATTTTATTTTTTTATAAAAAAAAAAAATACTTTGTTGTGGTTTAAATAAACGCATAACACCTTTTACTCTAATTTGTGAATCAAAGGATCGAAAATATCACTGTTATGAGCATTTTTATTAAATTTTTAGAAATTCAAAAATTATTTTTCACTTGGATCTTGCAAAACGTGTAATTTATCGTAATATTTGAATTTGAGTACATAACTTCTTATCTCGGCACATATTTTACTTAATATTAACTTGAATTGTATGTCTAATTATATAAGTTGTATATGTACTTTCAATTGATAAGGGATAATTGTGAACGAAAAGAAGAAAGAGAAATTTTGATTTCTCAAACACCAGCACAAAACAAAAACAAAAACAAAAACTACAAAGGAGCAACTAACAGATCTGACCAAAATAAGAAAATAATCAAAAATTTACTCTCACAAGTGAAAGCACCACAAAACAACCTTTTAATCCATTCCCTAACATTCCATATATTTGGAACACAGATAATGATGGCCACTAATTACATAGCTACATTAAAAATAAAAATTTTAAAAACAAAATCATAAAAGGTTCCACAGCTAACAAGCCATGACCAAATTGTAACATTAAGGTCAGTTACATCTTGAAATGAGAAAGCAATCAACCCCATCCAAAGTACCTTTGCATGAACACCACATTTTGCTTTGGCACCATGTGCTTGTCCCCGACCCAACCCTACCCTGCTCGATACGTGTGATATCAGTTTAACAATTTATATAACCGTCTATAACAATTTAACAAAATGAAGACCTAATCTAGCAGCAATACCTGAAATCATTCGCTAATGGAACCAACAAACCCAATGTTTGGAGGAACGGTTTTTGACCCACTAAGAAAAGAAATACTCAGTTCCAGATTTTGTTTCCCATCAATCATAACCGGCATCAACATGGGCGGTCCCGCTTTGCCGACCATAAAAATTACCCCCACCACGCCTTGAGTGACCCTGACTTCGCTCCCTGTACCTTGAGCCCATATTGTGAGAGCCATCTGTTGGACCTTCAAAATTGTTGGTTTTGTTATTGTTATTGTTATTGTATTGTCCAATTGGCTGGTACTCATAATGTGAATTGTGTCTCTGCCTCTCTCGGTTTGAAGATGTACTACCATGTTGCCTGTTATCTTGCCCAGCCGAGCTCCAATCTCCACGAGATTCATGCCCTCTGCCAGAACGATTGTTTTGGTTACCATTCTTGCGGAATCCTGAGGCAAATTGCTGCTCATGTTGTGTATCAACATTTGCTGAGGCTACTTTCCTCTCTCTCTTGGACTCTTGATGCTGCCCTAAACTCAGCAGTTCTGCCACATTTGTCTGCTCAGACACAGATTGATCAATGGGAGGCTGCACCATAGTTTCCCTCCTCTCCTTGTCATGTTGTGGTGAAAGATTCACCCTTTTCGGGGACAGTGAATCATCAACTGTAGCATTTTGTCCACTACTGGGTCGGTTTCCACGTTGACTATGAACTGAATACACCTGCGATTTGGGTTGCCAGTGTGGCGTTATTCGTTCCCCAACCCCGCGATTTTCTTTCAAAGCAATATTTGTGTCTGTTTGACCTATCTCATCAGTGTACCCACTATTAGCATTCCTGTAATCATGATCACGATTGTTCCCAATGCTTCGATGACCCTTAAATGGATGTCGCTTTCCTCTGCCTGTTACTTCCTGATCTTTCACAACAGCAGATGCAATAACAGATGCTTTTGTCTCAGAATTATCGAGAAAACCCCACCCATCGGAAGTATTAAAATCATCAGATGACTTTGTTTGCTCTTTCAAAGAATTTATATCAGGCTTCAAGGACTGGTATTGTTCAACAGATTTCTCAACATTCTTGCAAGGGTGTGAAGTAGAGGACGATCCATCTTCCAAACCCCTCTGGCGCCACGATCCATGTGCTTTTGACTGCTTATTCTGCTTACCATCCGCATTCCTCAACTCATTCCCAATTACTGAGTTACCCAGTTGAGAACCTTCAACATTCTGAAAATTTTCTACTCTCCCAACAGTTTCTTCTGACGTAATTTGATTGACTGAAGACGGCACTGGTTGTTGCTGGATGCTTCCCTGCTGAGCCAGCTCCTTTGCTACTGGCTTCGGGACGTATCTCTCTATCTCTGCCCTCTTGCTTTTCATATTATTCTGCACTGAATTATCGCTCTTTGCTGCTGCATTAACAGTGTCGGGTACAGTTTTCTTTCCGGCTTCGTCCATAACCTCGGTTTTGTTCTGTGACCGCACAGGCGCCCACACAACAGCATCGCTGCTATATGATTTCTCCGCTGTTCTATTAGCTTGTTGGTTTCTTGGCATCCGGCGATTGTACTGAGGTTTCCACTGGCTATTTATTCTACCACCCGCTTCTTCACTAGGCACAGACACAGGCAGCTCTGAAGGTGGAATTGCTTCCTTAGAACCAGTCCTTGACTGAACTGAGCTAGGGTCCAACTCCAACTCAGAAGCCTTTGGCTTTCCACTTTCAGTGGAAACTTTTGCAGCATTAGTTTCTTTTGATACTGGTAGTGGTAAAGCGGCAACAGATGACACATCATCCAACTTATGCTTGTTTTTGCTGCTCCTGCTGTTTTTCCTCCTCTGATGTGCTGAGGACTCAGCCGTGATATTTGAGTTCATGGGTAGGATTGGCTCAGTTGATCCAACCTCACCAGCAACATCATTAACAGCTACATGAGTCTCATCTTTTGGTGCCTCAGTTGAACTGATCGGAACTGATTTATCAATCAAATTCTTTCCCAATGGAGCATTCTGCTTTTGTTTATAGCCCATGCGCTTATGCCTGGAAACACTACCTTCACTTCCTTGTCGAGCAGCTTTATGGTTGGCTGCACCAGCGGTATGAGAATCCTGTTGCAAATGCAAAAGCTGATCATGTGAAACAACAGATTCTGCATGCACATTGTCCGATGTCTCCAGGCGTGTATCTTCGGACATAACAGTAGATTCTCCAATTCCGACGGTATTGCTCTCTCTAATCTGAGCATTAGGATTAGAAACCAATGGTGAGCTTACAGTTTCAGATTTGCTAGCAACCATAACTACTACTTCAGTGGTCACGGGTTCTTGCTCTTGCTGAATAGGACCACTAGGTGGACCTTTTTCCAACTTCTGAGTTGAACCATCCATTGTTTGAGTACGCCGATTCAGCTCTTCCAATTTTGCAAGAGCCTTTGCCTTCTGCTCTCTTATCCGTTCCTCCTCCTCCTCCTGTAGTTGTTTAGCACGTTGCTTTGCTATCTCCCGCATCTTAGCACGCTGTTGAAAAAACATTTTAAAAAAATTAGTGTTGTACATAGTAGATATACATAAAACTAGCTGGTACCAACACACACACACACACACACACACACACATATTACTTACCTGTGCCTGGGAATCACTCTCATCTAACACAGGTGTCAAAGATTCTCCTTCATCCTTCCCTTGAGGGTTGATCCCAGGCTTCTCAGTCGCCTCCACAGATGTGAGGTGGTCTTGTACATGAACATCAAAACTGGGTTCTGAATTTACAGCTGAAACTTCACAGACGGACTCAGCAGCCAGAGGTTTCTTTCGTAATCCACCAGCATCATGAGTGTTGTTGAACCTTTTACCGCGATGGTCAAGTCGACCTTGCACACCATGACTAGCTTTCCTGCAAATTTACAAAATGAATCCTTCCCAAACACAGAAAATAACAGATACGGTGAAAGTTTTAGCACAATAATCACAAACCTTAAAATGGCTGCCCCACTAGAAGCTGTTGGCTGAAGGGCCTTATGTGCTGTAGAAATATCCACTTCATGGGAGTGAGTTCTTTCAAAAGCAGTACCTGTTTCACTGGCAGAACGAGAGGCCATAGCATCAACTTGTAACCTACTCTTTTGCTCTTCCCTACAAGGAATGGATGCAGTATCAGGCCATCCATCAGAAGTCCGAGCTTTAGCATTTAGACCTTCAATCTTTTGTATCAACGTTGGGTCTTTTGGAGTAGATGGAACTATTTGAGGAGGTACTTGTGGAAAAGTGGATGCTGCAGTTTCTGACTTGGTTACCGTAACATCATCAATGGTCTTTGCCTTGCCCCGACTTTCAGGCAACTTAACTTTGACAGAATCTGAAGAGGAAGTTCCTCGATTGTCGAAATTTCGAGAACGCGCATCTCCACCAAAAGTTCTTTTTCCTGAATAATTCTCTTCGTCTTCTCTGTCTTCCAATCCCCACTCGTTTTTCGGCAATGACGTTCTTGGTTGATCCCCCTTCTCAAGATACTGGGCATTGGCTGGTACACCGTGCTCCCGTTTGTCTTCTGCCCGTTTTTCATCCCATTCATTGTGTGGCTTCTTAAGAACTTTGTATGGTCCTCGTGTATCATCAGGATGACCAGACTCCGCATGTTCTGAAGCCGATGGTTTTCCCATGGAGCCATGCATACTGGCTCTAGCATGATTATTGCCAGGATCAGTAGGATTTTCACCAGGGTACCTGTTATAAACAGCGGGGGGAGCTACCATTCCCATAAATGGAATATCCCGTTCATTAGAATTGCAGTAGCCCATTGGGGGGCGAAAATAGCCCTCATAGGCCATGGGTCCAGGGTAGAAACCAGGCCTAATTGGCATATCTGGACGGATGTAAGCATCAGGAATGTGGGGTCTGTGTAAGTCTCCATTTTTAGGATGGTGTCCTCTTGGTCCAGCCCCTGGAGGAGGAATTGGCTGTGAGTTTGCTAAAGGAGGAGGTGGAATTTGAGGGTGATAGTAAGGAAATGGTTCAATTGGAAAGCCACCAGGAGCAAGTGGGGGTCCATAAGGAGGACCTCGTGGAGGTCCTCCATACCAAACACCAGGCGGAGGAGGATTTATTGGAGGACCACGCCAAGCATCGAAGTGATGAGGTGGAAAATTAGGATTTAGGTAGGGTGAGGGATCCCCCTTCCACTTCTCCATAGTAGGCTGGACCCCATCCTCAACATGATGGGAACCATCTCTCCTCCAAGTACTCACATTTCCACTGCTGACATTTGCATTTACAGAAATATCACCTGAAATGACATAAAAATCGATGATAAAATGAAAAGCTGCATGTCACATCAAATAGAAATACTCATGAAACCATCTTTCTAGAATAAACGGAAGAGTTAAATTCATGTGCACAAACCAACTGAAGAAGTAACACTCTTCTCCTTTCCAGAGGCTGCTCTGCCAGAAGACGAGCCAGGACGACTATAAGAGCCATGGTCTGTCATAAATAGTTGATCACACAATCAATAATGTGCACATAAAATTCAAACCAGAAACTACTCAACAGTTAGCTATAAAATGCCAACACTCGCATGAAGTTGAAAAACAAGAACCAATTAATAGAAGGATTTCAAATTCATTGAGGCACTAAATGTAAGAAAGCGATAATTCATTGTGCCAACTGATTATCGCATGTAGATTATCAGAAAACCTAAGCAATGCTCCGTTTTTATTAGCATGACCAAGGAATAATAATACATCAACATCAGCCTCCATATGCATGTAAGAAAGCATGGGAATATTAATGGATATATCTGTTGAGTTTGTGGAGCCCAATTAGTCTTGTACACCTCACCACACAGTGAGGTGTACAATACTAAGAAAACAACAATTGATCATAAATTTTTTTCTTCAAAAACACAACAATTAATTAAATTTCAAAACCTAAACAAACACACAAAAACTATTATTGCTTTCTCCAAAGGAAAAACAAACAAACCAAAAAAAGAAAAAGAAAATATAAAATAATATTTTGTCAGAAACTAACTAGCAGCAGCATTACTAGTAATACATTACCCAACCTAGTCCTTATGCCTGGCAGTGTAATGATTCAACAAGAAAAATGTTCTCCACTTATTCAAAACCAATTAGCAAAAGGATATTAACAAGGATTGTTGAGATATCATTAAATGATATATGACGGTGATATGGGAGGAAAACTGCAATATTTTCACCATGAAAGGAAGCAATGAAGACATACCCACACCCAACATATTGTCAACATAACCAGTGTGATTTTCATATTTAATCCAAAATAGCAAATGAGCCCTACTAAGCATGAAAATTCAGAAATGGGAAGTCACACAAGTAAGACTAAATTTAACATTAGCTAAGTAATGCAAGAACAATAAGAACTATAATTAAACAACTTCCCGGTTCCCTCATAGTTGCCTGAAGACAACCCTGCACATCTCAGACAGACCCTCAGATTCTTAATTCCAAAGTCATCTGACATCATTTATTTAGACAATAAAAACGTACATCAAACCGGCAGTCTTCATTTGAGACCAACAGTGACAAGACTCGAACCAAGCAAGGTATGGAACTATCAAGACCCAAACTTGAGAAAAATACAAAAAAGAGATGACTACTCTGATCATTGTAGAGAGTACCGACCTAGTAGAAAAATGATGTAATGCATCAATCACAGTGGCAACCAAAAACAAATGTAATAGAAGTGGAGAACTGTAAGAGAAGTATCAAACAGAAGACAACTGACATAGAAGTTCTTATATGCAAGCACTGTCACCTTGTGAGTCAGGACTCTTTCCAGAATTGTCTTTTTCTGAACCAAGTGTCGGAAAGTCTCCAGAACTCAGAGAGAACCCATCCTTCTTGGAGGTTGCCACTCCCTGCATACATAATATGTTAGGTCAAGTTGCCAAGAGATAATGCAGCAACCTCAACAGGATAACTACTATAAACACAAAAAGGGTTAAAAATGAAAAAAGGCAGCTCCAACTAAGAAATCTAATCATTCATATAAATAAGATTTGAGACAATGTATTGCAGCAATTTTTTTAATAACTAGAAGCAAGACAGTAAATATTTTTTTAACTAAAAATTTATAACATGAATATTTAATGCTGAACTTAGTTATGCCATCCTACCAATTTCTCTGAGACACCAGTTGGACCCCATGCAACTGAATTATCAGATGAGGGTTCAGCAAACCGAGATAACTGTGAGCTACCAGGCCTTGTCTCTGCACTGCGAGGACGTGATGCCAGAGCTGTTTGATTTGATGTCAATACTCCAGAAGCTGATGATGGCCTAGAATTTTGTCCCCATGCATTAGGAGTAGGTTCGTGCATCCTGTCACTACCAGCAGTTGATGGCCTAGTACCACCTCCAGAAGAAGGGCGACCACTGAGATAACTTGGAGAACTGGTCCCACCATCAGTATTTGGGGACAAAGCGGAAGAACCCCATGCATTTGATGCAGAGGATGATGATCGACTTCCCCAGCTAAGGGTACCCCTATCAAAAATTTTAAATTTTAAAAATCTATAAAAAAAACGAGTGGTCTGATCAATTTATTATTACTGGTTCTACTTCTCTGAGAGAGAGAGAGAGAGAGAGAGAGAGAGAGAGAGAAATCATTTTAAGTATAGATAGAGGAAAGATCATAAAAAGGTGTGCATGTCTCCAAGTGCTTGCACATGCACATGCACGTGTGTGTGTGTGTGTGTGTGAGTGAGTGAGTGAGAGAGAGAGAGTATATATCACCAAGACTGTGTATTACTCACTTGGGAACAATTTCCACACTTGGGTCCAGACCATGATTTTCTAACCTTGAAACAACATTGAACAGAATTTCAGAGAGAGAACCCCCATAATTAACATAGGAAAATGGAAATAATTAAGCAGCAAGCTAGATACCTTTGGCTGGGTAAGTTTAAAGGTTTTGGAACAGCAACTTTTCCCAAAACAGTCATTCCACCTCTTCTGGTGGAGGACGCCCACCTGCAACAATGACCGAACAACGTTAACGCATATAAAGCTGTCCACAAACTATGAAATAGCATAATTTAAAAAATAAAAAACATAGTTTTTTACAATACTTGAACAGAATTACATTAGAAGATGGAGGAAACCAACACATGACTCCTCTAATAGACACTAAAATATGTATATGCACAATAGGTGTACTGAAATCCATCTTGCATACACTTGGAAGACACAGGTAAAAACTCACAATTCAACAACCACATAATATAAAAAAAATCAGAACGTCGTAGCCCTCAATAATATATATGCCAACTACTAGAAATTATTTAAAACAAAAAAAAATACATAATTAAAATTGGAACAAGATCATGATTTTCCTTTTAATAAGTAAATTTGAAACAAGATCATGCTAGTAGACATTTGCATGTAGAAACATTAACTCCCCAATTAGACATCCACAGAGAGAATGGTCTGTCCATAACCAAATGGAGGCCCAACATAATAAATCTCTGATACAGAAAATATCTAGGCAGATCTTGTAGAGGAATTATAGAAAGAAAAGAAGGCAAACACAGTAACAGACACAATCTTTGATGTGCCCTAGAGAACACCACAACTAAAAAGAGTGGAAATATATTGCCACAACAAGGTTAACATGGTTCATGAAAAACTAACCCATGTCAGAATGAGATGAGAAGATCCACCATCACGATAGATGGACAATGGTAAACTCATTACCCTCACATATGCTGTCAATGATGTTGCATAATTATACATACTACCTAAATTAGTATGAAGCAAGAAAAATCAACACAAAAACAGAACTAAGAGTATTCTCGGCAATCTTAAACCACATGTGATGTAGCTAATCCATCAGGCTGCAATTCAGAATTCTTTGTGAAGGAAGACAAGAAAAATAAAATTCTAATATCTTTGATTACGGTAAAAACAAATAAACAAAAATCATAGAGGTTACAGTAAGAAAAAGTATTGATCCATTGACATGTATACTTAATGTAGGAATTGAAAATATCTTAAGACATCTAGGCTTCTACAATACATTCATAAATTGCACCAAATGCACACATGAATGGATTTGTTTAATAATAATGTAGTTAACGAACACTTGGAATAAGTTTCCAATGTGAAAAAGAAAAACACTACAAAAAAACCTAATAATAAGCAAAAAAATGATACCCCAGCTGCTTAGGTCACATCACCCTAATAAACAAACTAAAGTTCGAGTGTCCCTACCTTACCTAACAAAAACATGGCAAAGGAAAAGAAATTACTATCAAAACATTTCACTAACAAAAACAAAAAAATGAAGCAACAAGAGAATAGGGACATAGGACAGTAAAGCATGCAACACTAAACTCAGGCAGCTATCTAGCTTAAGGTTTAGTTTGGAAAGCACAGAGCACTTGTGGTATTTGTACATAATCGCAGGTCGATCAACAGCTTATTTACAAACAAAACCCACCCAAAACCAAACTTGATCAGATTTTGTTAACGTGAACATGGCCACATTTTCCATCTAGCCACACTTCCATATGGCACCACCAGCAGCTGACCCATCCATCCCAGCGACCAAATTTGAAGAACACGAGAAACAGAAATTTAAGTTGCCAAACATGCACGTATAAGACTGCCAAAAACGATCTCTAAAGACATATAAGCAGTGTGAAAATGAAAATTGCTTGTATTTTTTGGGTTTGTGAAGATAGAATAATCTAAAATATTATGTAGATAGGTTTAGCTTAGAATCCCCATTAGTTTTCAACATGAATGGAGTATACTTATGGAATATGTGATAAATACAAAATTCCTTCCTGAGGTATGGAGCCGTGAACTCCATATTCACGTAAAAATCAAACCAAACATTGAATGTTTCTCCTACATCAATGCTTTACCATCAGTATCTAACCGACAATTCAAAGCCAAAGCTCCTAAATAATTTATAGGTAGCAAGTCATTTATATAGTCTAAAATTATATGCTTTTACATATAAATTGATTTCCCATTGGAATCTGCCCACTGCCTTTTGTTTTCACCACTCATCAAGATTGGGACAGTCCATGATCCAGGGAGGGTTTGCCCATCCCATATCAGCCTTGTTGCTGTCCCTAGGAATACTAAACCATTAAACATTCCTAAACAACATTCTGGCTTAAATAATCTGACGGTGAAGATTATCACCATAGTAATCTAAGCGATCCTTCTGGAATTTTCCACTTTCCTTTGGTTTGAGTAATATGCTTTCCCTTTCACAGCATTAAAGTCAAATTCAAGGCTCTGCAAACCATTACTACTAATATTTTCCCTGCAGCCCCTTTGTTTCACAATGTTCTAGTGCCAAATATATCTGAACTCCAAATCGGTTGCAAAATGAGTCATGTAACTAAAACATGGATAATGGACGTTGTCTTCAATTTACAGAAGACCTACTTCTGCGAAATTGCACCTTTCATCTATTTTAGTGGTATGCTTTTAATTTTTAAATTGAGCTACTACACATCAAGAAAGGATAGCAAAGAATGTAACAATGAAAAATATTTCATACCTTTTCTCTCCAGCCAACATACTTGAAGTCATTCTTAAAATGTAGTCCCAAGGTCATCCAAACAATTTTTACAGAGCCTGTATAGAAAAAGCATTTGTAAACTCAATCAACAAAAAGAAAATTACAGCCACCAAACACAAATTGAGTCTTAACATCAACAAAAACAAATTGAGTCCAACATCAATTTGTTTGTTTGTTTTTTAATCAACAAAGTAAAAATTTTATTATAAACATGAAATTCAAGGTACAAGGAAGTAGAATACATTGAGGGAGATTCGGAAAGTGAAAAAACTCTCCTAGTACTGCTACTCATAAACTCACAACCTACCCCTCCGCCTCACGAGATTTTTAATATTTGAAAACAATAAACAAAGCAAAAAAACAAAAAATAAAAAACATAAAAGTAGCTAAAAAGATATTAACTACAAAAAGTTTGAAAATTCCAAAACACCATTTTCTAGACTACTTTTCTTGTCACCCACGCCACCCTGCAGACTAACATTTCCAATGCTCCCTACCACACCCCTTCTGCACACGATCTGCACACGATCTACACCTTCACACGAGCAAACAACTTCACGCGCCACCACGAACACCTTCAACATGCATTGCCTACCGAACACCATTGCCTACCAAACCACCCCTACAACACTTTGCTGCACCAAACCCACTGCTACAAAACCCACCGCAAAATCACACCTTGCAACACTCTGCCGCAACCACCCTGCAACACTACGCTGCACCTAACACCCTTACGACCCTCCACTGCACCTAACACTCCACTGCAACAACCCCACACCTAGCACTCCACCACAACCAACCCGTGACCCTCCACTACAAATTCCACTACTGAAACCACCTGACCTGCAACCCACAAGTCTCCACCCCCACCGAGCATTACACCTTTGACGCTTTAAACACCATCGCCATACGGAACCCACCTTATCCACACCATCACACCGGCACTTGCACCGTTGCTACACCGAGCCGACCTCCCTTATTCTAGCTACAACTCCTAATACCACCACACTTCGACCCAATAAAAGTAGACCACTATTCCGATGAAAAAGGACATCAAACTTATTGCCGAAACTGAAAACAAGGAAAGAGAGGGAAGAAGAAGAAGAAGCAGAAGAAGAAACGAAGCTAAAGCCAAGGAGGGAAAAGAAAAAAGGAAGCAAGACGGAGAAGAGGGGGGAAGGAAGCCGGCGGCAACCTCCTCCCTTGGCTGAACCAAACTGGGTTTTGTTTTCTAGAGAGAGAAGCTTTCTAGAGAGAGAGAGAGAACTTTTTTTTGCTTGTAATAGATTATTTTAGTCCAACATCATTAACATCTTAGGCCATGCATAAACATATTTTTACATAGCAAATTCCACAAGAAGGGACATTTTGACGAAGAATATTTGCAATGTGCCTAGTGATTTAGTTTTAGTAGATTTACAATTTTGTTCAATTCTAAATGGTTTCAAGGTTTTAGAAAGTCAGTTGGACAAATATGTCAATAAATAAATAAAATAAGTTTTATAAATTTTTTTAAAATTCTATGAAGCCTAAAAATAGAGTTTACTGGTCTATATGGGATTAAGCCAAGATCAATAATTCTAAAAAATCATTAAGACAAGTTACAAGCATGTAGAACGACACTAGGAAACTCAAAATATTGCTGCTTAAGCTAGGCTAAGACTAGGGAGACATGAGCTAGGGAGACATGAGCTATGCCCATGTGGGTTAGGGCCAAACTTGCACTTCTAATAAAGAGTGGCTCAAGCCTGGCCCAGCCCAATGTTAGGCCAAGACCATGATTCCCAAGCTTGCCCCTAGCAAAAAATACTATAAGGACCTAATATTTCAAGTTGTACCATAATAAAATCCATAGAATGCAAATATTTAAATTACCAAAATAAACTACCTTGCAGAAATTTAAAGCAATTCATAAATTAGTCTCAAGTTGTCTACTAACAACAATAAGCTTAGTATTTGTAGGTTACCCATGAGGTTCTTAATATAAAAATATAGAAATAGAAATCAAATCCCAAAATAAACAAACTATATAATTACTCCCAAAATAAAACATAAATCAAATAAAATATTAATCCTCAAAAATTCTTCAACCAATTCCACTGTGCTCCCCATCAAAAGAAACAAAATACATAAATAAATTCGTTTTCCATCTCCCCTAACCTTATTTCTACTCTTCCAATAATATTTTTGGTGCCAATATTGTTGTATAATAGAAATTGGAGAAGCAGTGGAAAATAAGTTATGAACTGATCAAGCCACAATTAAATACAATCAACTATGGACCTCTTCCCTCACTCCATCTTTTCCCAAAATAGTAAGAGACATAGAAGTGCGCATCAAGCAAGGCATGGCATGAAAATATAAAATTAGAACCAACCCCACCTCAAACCCGACTCAAGATTTATGAAGCTTTCCTAATCCCTCTCTGACTATCCAACGATAATAATCACTACCAAACTTCATCTAATAGGGACAAAAGAGTTTAATGTGATAAACACATGCACAATTCAAACTCTATATCAAAAATACCACATACATCTCAAGAGAAATAACAGCCCCTCTAATATTTCCCTGTGTAAACGACATCTCAACTTTCATTAGTCTCTCATACTCCTCTCGTCATTCCATAGTCTCCCATCCCCCAACCTAAAAGGAGAAAAATAGTTTATTTCTGCTACATACTTGCAATTTTGATGATTGAGTCAAACTTCAACCACCTCTCACTTTCACACAAATAATGCCCCTAGTGTAGTAAAAACAAAAGGCAAGCTAAATGCACCCATATTGCCCAAGGCACTAAGCGCCTATCAAGGCCTCAACTTAATAAATTGTTAAATGAAGTGACTAAATCAAGATATACTTCCACGTATAGTAGTAAATCACATACAAAACCCAACATAATTAACAAACCATGACCAATGGCACCAGGCATGTAAATTGCCAATAATTCATGACAGAAATTCATTAGATGCAGAAATTGAAGCATATTGTTCACTCACCAAACAAACCCATATATGATTCACCAAGAAAATACAAACTTTGGTACTACACCCATAATACAGAATACAGAATTCCATCACCTACATAATTCAAATTGAAAACAACACCAAAAGACGCACTTTATCGGTTCAAATCTATACAATATCTCTGTTACGTGTATGTATGCGTTACGTTGCGAACCCTAGGTACTAATTTTATTCTCTGTTTCTAGGTTTATCAAATCGTGCCCTCCTTGTGTTCTTCCAAACCCTAGAATCCAACATTTTTTCAGTTATAAAGCAACGACATATATATTTTCATACAATTTATATAGACACACACAGAGAGAGAGAGAGAGAGTAGATGATTACCAGGAGAGAAAGATTATGATCTATAAGCGAAGAGAATGTTCCGATCTATGTTTCTTTGTACGAAGAAGCGAAGCAAGAGAGAGAGAGAGAGGAAAAGGCTACAAAATCGACGCTGGGTGGGTGTGAAGGGTATTTATAGGTAGTGATGGTGGCGATGATGATGAGACGGGATCGGAGAGTCGAACACAGATAGAGAGAGAGAGAGAGAGAGAGGGGCAGAGAGTGATCGGACCCAAACCCAAACCCAACATACCTTTAAATCATAAGAGAGAGGTTCACCGCCCCCTCTCTCTCTCTCTCTCTCTCACTCACTGCCTGTGATTTTTTCTTCACGGCTCACGCGCGTGACAATTGACGTTTACACGCCAACTTTCTCTTTTTCTTTCTTTTTTTTTAATATTCAAAAAAAAAAAAAAATTTGTCTGTTGAAGAGAAAAAAAATGCTTGGGAGTACTGATTAGTGCTCCCACTAATTAGGTGGTTTAGTGGGTCCCGCCATTTAATGATGTGATGTTTTGGTCTTGGAGTTGTATTTTTTTTTTTTTTTTACTTTTTTAATGCATTAGTGCTATTAGTGGTGATGTTTTTAGTAGGATGAATCATTGTTGTTAAGAGAATACACCTATCATAAATGGGAAAATATTAAAAATGGAAGTTGCGTTTGGTAGAGTTTTGTAATTATGATTTAAGAGAATGAGTTATATTTTGAGTTTGTAAAGTTTGGAATTATGGTTTAAGTATAGAAAATTTGTTTAGTAAGGAGTTTTGAAAATAATTTTAAAAAGAGTTTTGATTTGAGTGGGAAACTATTGATGTGACATTTGGTATTTGATATAAAAATTTACAACTCATAACTAAATATACAACTCAAAATTATTTTAAAGCACATAAAAAATTTAAAAATTTTAAAAAAATATTTTTTTCGATTATATAAAAATTAACATATCAATTGAAAAAAATAAAAATTAATATTCCGGTCAATCGGCCGGACGACCGGTTAGGCAAAATTTACAAAAAAAAAAAAAAATCTGAAAAGCACGGTTGAGACAGAGCTCTCTGCAGAGTTTTGAAAACGCGATTCCAAAACTCCTATTAAACATCATGTGTGAATATAGGTGTGGAATCACGTTTACAAAACACAACCAAACGGAGCCTAGTAATTAGATGATCAACACTGTCGGGTGGTTAACAACTCTGTCAGTCTCAAGCCTAGGTAAATGAGAAGGGTTGTGTGTTAGGTAGTAGGCAGTCAATACGTAAAAAAAAATCGCTCAGATCCCTTATGACAATGAATTCTACTTTGGATCGATTAAATGCTAAGTTATTCCCCTCAAGTGACGTGTTGCGCCTACCTCCGAGTGTTTCGAAAAATGAGCAAGGGGCGCCGTATCGATGCTCGAGTGCGGTGAAAAATGAGCAAAAGTTATCGTGTTTTTCTGGACGAGCGCGGGTAAAGAAGCTAGTCCAAGACTATAGATTTAGGGTAGCCACTTGGAATATAGGAACTTTAATTGGTAAGACGATGGGATTGGTAAATGTTATGATTAGGATGAGAGTTAGTGTAGTATGTGTACAAGAAACTAAATGGACAGGTGAAAAGCTTAGGAAATTGAGGATATCAGTTTTAAACTGTATTATAGTGGTAATAATAGACGCAGGAATGGGATAGGAATCATAGTTGCCAAGGGTCTTGTGAAAAATGTAATGGCAACCATTAGAAAAGGGGATAGGATTATGTTAGTTAAACTAGTTATTTGAGGGAATATAGTGAACGTTATTAGTGCATACGTCCCTCAAATAGGATTAGATGATCAGACGAAAAAGAATTTTTTTGAGCAAATGGATGAGATCTTACAGGAGATACCCGTAGGAGAGTACCTAGTTATAGGTGGAGATTTCAATGGCCATGTAGGCATAGATAAACTAGGCCATGAAAGGGTATATAGTGGATACGGTTTTGATGATAGAAATGAGGCTGGAGAAAGTATCTTAGATTTTGCGTTGGCTTGTGACCTAGCGGTAGCCAATACTATGTATACGAAGATGGAAGAACATTTGATAACCTTTAAGAGTGAGTCAGTTAAGAGACAAGTAGATTACTTTATAGTGAGAAAAGTGGACCACCTAAAATGCAGTGATTGTAAGGTGATTCATAGAGAGAGCCTGACCTCTCAACATATGATTTTGGTACTAGATTTATGTTTTAAAGGGCAATAGCAAGCTATGAAGGATGGTGGGCGTTGTAGGACGAGATAGTGGGACCTAAAAGGGGATAAACTATAAATATTTTAAAATAGAATGGATAAGGAAGGTGTTTGGGACTTAGAAGATGATGATAACACTATGTGAAACTTGATGGCCAATTGTATGAGGAGAATCTCAGGGGAAGTGCTTGGAGAGTCAAAAGGAACGGGACTTAGCTCTGGAGAAACTTTGTGGTAAAGGAAAGAGGTTCAAGCGGTAGTTAAGACAAAAAAATAGTGTTTTAAAAATGACAGAATGATAGAACTAAGAAAAACCTTGAGAGTTATAGATTGGCTAATAAGGAGGTCAAAAAAATAATGAGAGATGCTAAGTTGAAAGCTTATAATGACCTATTCACTCGACTAGATAATAAAGAAGGAGGCAAGAAGATATACAAACTTGCTAAGATACAAGAGAGAAAAATAATATATTTTAATTAAGTTAAGTGCATCAAGAGTGAGGATTCTAAGGTATTGATGAAGGATGAAGAGATTAAGGAAAAATAGAAGAACTATTTTGAGAAACTATTAAATGAGGAACATGGAGGTACGTCAAAGACTATAGATTCTATCGTAGGATTAGGAACTTTCAAATGAAGATTGCACTTAAGAAAATGAAATCAAATAAGGCTTTAGGACCCGATGATATCTTTACTGAAGCTTGGAAGTGTTTGGATAAAAAATGGGTTGCTTAGTTGACTAGGTTGTTTAGTAAAATGTTGTTGACTAGGAACATGTCGGATGAGTGAATGAATAGTATTTTAGTGCCAGTATATAAGAATAAAGAAGATGCCTATAATTGCAACAACTATAGATGAATCAAGCTAATGTGTCATATAATGAAAGTATGGGAGATGGTAATGGAATACCGATTGCGAGATATGACAGAGGTGTTAGAGAATCGATTTAGATTTATGCCTGGTAAGTCAACAATGGAAGTGATCTATCAGTTGAGGAGAGTAATAGAAAAGTATAAAAAAAAGAAAAGAGACATTCATATGGTGTTTATCGATCTTGAGAAAATATATGATAGAGTGCCTCGGGATATAATATTATGGGTGTTAGAGAATAAATAAGTGACAAAAGGTTACATTGATGTGATTAGGGACGTGTATGAAAGAGTGGTGATCACTGTTAGATTACCTGGTGAAGAGACAAATGAATTTCCTATCACTGTAGGTTATACCGAGAATCTACTTTAAGTCCTTATATTTTTGTGTTAGTTATGGATGAGTTGACAAGAAATATTCAAGATGACATGCCATGGTGCATGCTTTTTGCAGATGATATCGTGTTAATGGATGAGAATAGAGGAGGAGTTGACACAAAGTTAGAGATTTTGAGAAAAACACTTGAATCTAAAGGATTCCGGATAAATAAAACTAAGACAGAATACATGGAGTGTAAATTTAGTAACAGTAACAATAAAAGTAGAGAAGAAGTGAAGATTGAGAACCAAAAATTGCCTAAGAGTAAACATTTTCGTTATTTAGGGTCGATTATCACAACAACGAAGGAGATTGACGTAGATGTAGCCTATAGGATTAAGGCAGGATGGCTTTAAGTGGAGAGGTGCATATGGGGTGTTGTGCGATAAACAAATATCCACTAGACTAAGAGGTAAGTTCTATAGAAAGGCTATTAGACCAACATTGTTGTATGGAACGGAGTGTTAGGCAACTAAGAAATAACATGTAGATAAGATGAGTGTTGCCGAGATGAGGATGCTAAGGTGGATGTGTGACAAAACTAGACAAGACAGAATTATGAATGAGTGTATTCGGGAATGGGTAGGAGTGACATCGATAGAAGATAAGTTAAGAAAGAATCAATTTAGATGTTTGGTCATATTCAACGGAGATCAATAGAGATAGTAGTGAAGAGATGCGATGCAGTGACGATAGATGAAAGTGTTAGGGGACCGGGTAGGCCTAGATTAACGTTGGTTAGCGTTGTAAATAGAGATATAGATCTATTTAATTTGACTAACGAATTTGCTTTTGATAGAGTCGCGTGGAGAAGAAAGATTCATGTAGCCGATCCCATTTGATGAGACTCAAGGCTTGGTTTGGTTGGCTGGGTAGTAATTAGATGATCAATAGAGAGTGGTGAGGATCGGGACGGTGGAGTCACGGTGGTTTGAGAAGGATTGGTGTGGTGTTGGTAGATTGAAAGAGCGAAGCGAAAAGAGTCGAGAATAATGTGATTGTTAAAAATGAATAAGTAGTGACAATTGAAGAGAAAATGGGCCAAATGTGACGGTCGAAGATAATGCATGATGTCTCATGGTTAAGGTAGAGGATATTAAAGTAGGGTTTAGATGAATTTTTATGAGGGTAAAATTACGATAAAATTTTATTAAAAAAAAAGAAGAAGGTAAGACTTTCAAGAAATTAGAAGCTTGTATTGCACATTACATTTTCTCTCAACACATGCCATTTTTTCAATTACGATATCTAAAATTTTTGTCCATCAAAGTAATTATTATCTGGGCAATGGCCCACACCTTTTTTTTGTTGTTTTGTTTTTGTACAAATCTAGTCGTTGCTTGTTATTTTTGTTGTTAATTGTTGCCACCCCAAGCTACCACCACCTCCTTACTAGCCTTTACCGCGTGAGCCCCCCCTCCATCCTTCACAACCGTGATCTTTCTTTTTATCTCTTTCTAGTATGATCCCTCTCTCATCATCATAGTCCTTTTCTACTCTTACTGCCATTCTGTCTCTCTAGAACGACTACAACCCGTTTCCCTTTTCATAGAACCACTATAACTATTTATCTTCTTATCATATAACCACGATAATCCCATATTTCTTACCTTTCACAACCCAGCCTCTTCATCTCTTTTGTTGTTATTTTTTCTCCTCTATAAACTTTATATTTAAAAACTTTTGTTTTTTTTTCCTTCAATATTCTAAAAAATCTATGTATAAAAATGCCGAGTCATGATGATGGGAATGTGGAGTTAGACTTTAAGAAGGGAGTGACAATTGAGGGAAGAGATTGGTGAGAGACGATAAGAGCCAGAGAAAGTGAGGACTGGAAAGGTAGTGACAGAGACAGAAGGAAATGATATCATCAGTGGCAACAAAGGTAGTTAGTGTCATTAGGGCTATGCTCGGTACAAATTTCCAAAGAATTGTGGGTGGGTGTTACAAAATGAGTACTGCTATTAGCATCTCATAAATTATTTTGGATCCCTCAATTTGTAACTTTTTTTATTACAAGAATAATCTCAAATAAAATTACTAAAAAAGACATCATTAATTTTTTGATACATCATCTCACAATTAAACCCACACATCCCCTGCATCATGAATTAGGGTTTATGAGAGCACCCTCCTCCATCACTATCCATCTATCTTCCCCAAATATCTCCTTCAAAACTTATCCACCCTCAAAATCTTAAAAACCCTTTAGTGGCAATATTCTAGTGGTAACGGTAGCAATCATTTGATTACTTACATTTCTCTGGCAATGACAACGAGTGAAAGTTTTTTCGGCAATCACAACTCCATGAGACGAGTGGAGTACAACATAAAATTTAGATGTGGTTTTATAGCTTTGATGATGTTCTTAACTAAGAGGAGATTTACTTTATAAGGATAAGTTTCTTAAAAAGATGGCAAAGATAATAAATATATGTTCATAATTTTTTCAGAACTGAACTCCCAAACATATGATCGAAATTCAGGAATACATGCCTGAATATTATTTATTTGTTCGGGAACTAGTAATTGAGCATTTATTATTTGTTCAGAAATAGGTAATCGAACATTAATCACCGAAGAAAATGATGAGGCAACACAGAGAGAGAGAGAGCATACTAACTGTGATAATGGTTAAACCGAAGAAAATGATGAGGCGACACAAACAGTAATCACACTTGGCTCTTTTTTTTTTTTGTGAGTTTTGTTAGGATTTTTGAAAGAGAGATTTTTTTGAGATGTAGGGATATGTATTTAATTGAATGAGTAAAATGTTTTTATAAGAATAATTTTGATATTATTTGGGTGGAGAAAAAAAATTATAAAGATTTTAAAAGTTATAAATGGGATACAAAAATGAGAGGTCAAAATATAAATGGCCGTCTACAAAATTCATGGAAGGAACATACAAATGGCAACGGCGTCGTTTACCGGAGCTAATTCTATATCCCTCAGCTGTAGATCTGTATTGTGCCCACGCAGTGAATCCAGTTGATCTTCACAATCTTCCCTTTCGCTCGCTCCTATACACACACATGCAGAGAGAGAGAGAGAGAGAGAGAGAGAGTACGGCAATGGAGTAGTATTCGGATGCACATGGTATTGGAGAAGAAAGGGGTAAGCGAATTTCACTTCAACGTTCTCTGTTGCGTTAATCAAATCTAAAAGGGTCATTTTTATAATCATTCATGTGAATTAACTCAAAAATTGGTCAAATCTACTGTATATATATATATATTCATTCTTTGATTGGTGCAATTCTTTGAAGTGATTGATTCAAAACTAGTTGCAAAAATTCCCAATTGCTTCATGTTGTTAGTTTGGCAATGGAACCCAGATCACCTTCAAAATCTAGACTTCCAATTATGGGTTTCATTTACAAGCACAGAGCATTGAAAATTGGCCTGACCCTTTTAATCATTCTATTGTTGTTATTGGTTGGTGTGTATGTTAGTTCAAAACCATGGAAGACTCGATTTGGATTGAAAAGATCATATTTTACTGTGGTTGTAGATTGTGGTAGCACGGGCACACGAGTGAGTGTGTATGAGTGGATGATAAAAAGTGGTTTTAGTGATAGAGAATTGCCTATTTTGATCAATGCTTATCCGGACAATTCGACTAATAGTCATTCAAGGAAAGGCAGTTGTCAGTATCACTGCATACAAACCGAACCTGGGTTAGATAAATTTGTTGGGAATTCTTCTGGGGTTAGAACGGCGTTGAAGCCATTGATTCTATGGGCAGAACAATGGGTTCCTTTTGAAAGGCATAGGGATACTCCTATTTATGTTCTAGCTACTGCCGGGCTAAGGAGGTTGCCGAGTGAGGATGCTAGGTGGGTTTTGGAGGATATCGAGGCTGTTGTGAAGGAACACGCATTTATGTATAGGAAAAGTTGGATTAGGGTTTTGAGTGGGAAAGAGGAAGCTTATTATGGTTGGGTTGCTTTGAACTATAAATTGGGGATTTTTAACAATTCCACGAGGTTGCCCACTTTGGGACTTCTTGATTTAGGGGGTTCCTCGTTACAGGTGGTGGCAGAAATAGATGAGTTGAAAGAAGATGAATGCTTTCTGAGATCAAAGATTGGATCCCTTGAACATCTGATTTTTGCTTCCTCATGGTCTGCTTTTGGTTTAAATGAGGCGTTTGATAGGACAGTTGTTATGCTCAGTCATTCGCAGGCACTCAGACAAGGTTCATGGGGTACATTTGAAGTCAGTCATCCTTGTCTGAGTTCCAATTTTGTGCAAAATTATACTTGCAAAGGTTGCTTTGGGCTAAGTCCGTCTGACTCAGAAAGTTTGCATAGTCAAGTGCAGAGAAATGAGTTAAATTCAATATTTTTGGTTGGTGAGCCGAATTGGGAGCGGTGCAAAGTACTCGCAAGGGCTGCTGCCGTTAATTCAAGTGGTTCAGATTGGTCATTGCTAACAGATGGTTCAAAGTGCGAAGCAAGCTGTGCTTCTTTAAATGGTCAGTTCCGTGTTTTCTTTTTTCGTTTTTTGTTTTCCACTACTATTGCTTTGGTATTCAGTTGTTAAAACACTCTGCATTTTAGACATCTTTACTTTAAAAAATATATATATTTATTTTCTATTCCCACAAAATAAATTGGTGATGCAATGCAGAAAACGACATTTTATTGCTTCAGGTCTGATTACAGCAAAAGTTAGGTTCTAAGATTTAGAAAATGGCTCTCTCTCTTATATTTTGATGTATATTGATTATTGAGTATGTGATCTTTTGACTTCTTCCATTATAAAGGTTGTGTGTCATCTGAATCACGAGTCCTTTGTACATGCACAATATGTAGGCATGTCCATTGATAAGCTTGGATACTCATGCTCCTTTTTTTCTTATGAAAAAACACCTTAGGTGAATTCCCAGTAGAGAGTCAATTTGCAGAAGTAAAACATGTTATTTAGTAAAATGCAACAGCAATCAAAATAGGGCTATAGTTCTATAGTTTCCAGATAGAAGCAAGGAGTTAGTGTAGGCTAGACTGGTAGTAAATGTTAGACTTCTGTATAACATACTGGATATGACATGAGACAAATTACTATAGAATGGCCACTAAGGTAGGCAGAAGAACTACAACATTACTTGTAGCCACAACTAAGACAGGCTAAGCCTTCATTGTTTTCTGTTATGACTACAAATTGATGTTTTACTGGTTATAGTCATACATTAGATGTTAGGTTTCGATATTTTGTGTTCTTATGTATCAATGAAAATGTAAATTAATGTTCTTAAGCTACTCTTATTTGTGGTCTGTACTAAGGCATCGTCACTGTAAATTGAGGCCAAGCATATGACAATGGTCTATGATCACTGTATGTTACCTATTTTATTCCACCATAGGTTTGACATTTTTATTGCTGGACTTTTAATGCTTGTTGCAGCTACTTTATAATGTTTTGCCTTAATTTAGGAGAATGTAAAAACAGTAGTTGACTATACAGGAATGTTGGTTTTTAACTTTCCTCTTCTCTTCTGCAGGCAGTAACGTGCTCAATTTGACAATGATCACCCAATCCATTCCACGTTTCCACGCTTTATCTGGATTTTTTGCTGTTTACACTACACTAAATTTGAACCCAAGAGCAAATTTGACAAAGATTTGGGAAAAAGGCCAGGAGCTATGTTCAAGATCATGGGCTGACCTGAGCAGTACATCTAAAAGCCAAAATTATGCTGCACAATATTGTTTCCACGTGCCCTATATGGCATCACTTATTGAAGATGCTCTGTGTCTTACTGATAAGGAGATAATTTTTGGCCCTGGAGACGTTTCTTGGACATTAGGAGCTGCACTGGTAGACGGGGGTTTCTTGTGGCTCGGTTCTTCTAGAGCTCAGACAAACATTTTAACTTTAAAGAATATGGGGGTAATTTCGTCGACTGTCTTTCTTTTTATTTTTCTTGTTTTCTTGTTTTTTTTAGTTTATCGTAGTCAAGTCAAGCTGCCTATGCCGAGTAAGAAGGTTGTTGCTGTTGGGCCGTCTTTACCATCTTACATTTTTCCAAAACGCTGCCCTAACTGATTTTTGCGGTAGATGTAATGTAAGAAACCTATTTTTTTTTTCCTGTACAGTCATAGTTTACATATTCTTTTTAAGCGGTGATTGTTAAAAGGATCATGTGGGAGTGGTTGATGAAAAGTTTGAGAAATTTTAAAACGGTTTTGACAGAGAGATCAACTCATATGGTGATTGTTTGAGTTTGCTTGTATAAATGGTGTTTGTTTTAGTTAATTTTTTTTCACTTTTTATTCACCTGACCTAAATGTACTTGAAAAATGGAACATTGTATAAAAAATCTTCAGAAAATCACTATAAAAATAAAGAAAGAAAAGCAATGAAAAGAAAGAAAAGAAAAGAAAAGAGAAGAAAGGTCCATCTAGGTTAGGAGGATTTAATATATATACATATATATATAAATGTTTGTTAAAGACAAAACATGAAAAATTCAAAATACAAAAACAATTTTCAAAAACTAAACCAAAAATTCCAATCCAGTTCATAGGCACATCATGGTAGTACAAACCGAACAGAAGTGGAAGACCATTACATAAAAAGAAAACAACATGAAGTTGTTCAAGGTACTGTTCAAATTTGAGAACTTACAAATTTACATTGAGATGCAGGTATGAAAACATGAAGTAACATTCTATATATAGCTTCTTCATACACAATGAGAAACTTACATAACCATACCCACCAAATCACCCATACTTCAGTATGTTGCTACTCCACTAGATTTGCATCCATCTAATGCAGATTCATTCAATTCCACCCAAACTTCATTTACGCGGCCAATTAACTTGAAGGGAGAGTTGTACTGTGCAATCGAATAAGCATATTCACTTCTGGAAGAAATTGAGTCCGCCCAAGGAGACCTGCTCAGGCTGATCGACAGCTTCTCGGCCTGTTTCACAATGTTACCATCCTTTGCGAATCCAGAGAACTTTCTGACGGCAATGCAGCGACTGGACCATGAATCGGGTTTAAGGTTCAGTTCAGGGAGAGGAAGTGGCGGAGTGGACTGGAACTTGACGGGTAAGTATAGTCTGACAAAGTAGGCGGATGAGTGTAGGGGCCCGGCTCCAGGGACAATGCTTGTTAACACGGGTGCTGTCATTGAAATCCGAGAGAAGTTCAAATTCGCTCCTTGGATGTACTGGAACAACCTGCAAGACAGAGAAAGTAAATGTTCTAAAGAAGTTCGATTAACATTACTGAATTCAGAGAGAAGGTAACAAAGAATAAATGCTTCAAAGGGATGGTGATGAGGTGGAAAGATACCAATTTCACCCTTTCTTTTTGTTTTTAATTTTTTTTTATTTCATACCTAAGAGTATATTATAGTTAAAGACACAGAAGGGTACGCACCACGCGACCTTGTATACAGAAGGTATACCAAAATGCAAAACAAAATATATCCAAAACTGTCTATATATCCATAGGGAGAATCATCCCTAAGCTGACGACGAGACGACAACAACAACAAAGAGAGAGAGAGAGAGAGAGGGGGGGATGCCAACGTTGCTCATGTCAAAGCACAAATCGAACTCTCATTCCCCTTAAAACATCTACAGTTCCTCTCCCTCCAAATGTACCAAATAAGGCATAACGGAGCAACATCTGAATCCTTCATATTACCTCACCTAGGACACCCTCTATCCCAACAAGCAAAAGTTCCTAAAGCATTGCACACATCGCCCATTCCCCCCTTTCCTTTTTCCTACAATCTTCTTGCAATTGGAGAATGGAGAATAATCAATGTTCTTCCAATGTATCATTTCTGAGTCTAATGGAATAGACGACACCAGGATCCATACATCACTGATTAAAATTACACATTGATTTTCACATCTTCACATGAATATTTAGCATCTACTAATTGTTGGACAATCTTCACTGTATTTAAAAAAAGATTAAATTCTATTGTGTACAAAACAACAACAAGAATAAAAGAAATAGAGAAAAGGAGAGAATTTGTTTGATTACAAAAATCAAACTCGAAATAAAAATAAATAAATAAAACCACAGATTTTATTTTGTTACAAAAACAAAAATAAAATCTGATTAAATAAACAAATAAAAACAGAATAAAATTAAAAAACAGAATAAAATTAAACAACTTACTTGGTTAATTTAATTGAATAACTTTTATGATCAAGTCCAGTGTTTAACACTGTGTCCTTAAAACAGATTCGTCCTCTCCACGGGTGTGCAATAATACCAGACTGGTTTATTTCGGGAAGGGCCTTGTTTGGATGTACAGAAAATCCAAATCAGTTTAATTCTGTTTGAAAACGGGAAGGGCTCTGTTTGGATGAACAATAAATCCAAAACAGTTTAATTCTGTTTGAAAACGGGAAAGGCCCTATTTGGATGAACAATAAATCCAAACCAGTTTAATTTGAATTCTGGATTTTATTTTAATAAAAAATAAAATTAAATTTAAATGTTTTTGGCCTAAAAAGATTAGAAGCTCAACCCAACCACACACCAGCGCCCAAGCCCACTCGACCGGACGGCGGCGCGCGTGTGGTGATTTTTGGGTCCAATGGGTCTAGCCCATTTTCCCCATAACCTCTCCCTCTAAAACACTTGGGTACCCCTTGGGGCACACCCCAAGTATCTCACTCTAAGCCTTATAAACCCTTTCAAAACTTCCCACCAAATCAATGTGGGACAAGCCAATTTACAACTTTAAGGAATTTCCACCATAACTCCATTTCCATGGAGCACACTTTGGCTTCAATTTCCCATTCACTCAGTAATGGTTTTGAGCAACCAAATATACCACGTGAATCACAACGCGGCATAGAACGCGTTACCACTTTGACCCGAGTAAATCGATACTCGGAGCCTACCTAAAAAATAGACCAAACTTGAGAAAAAATTCTGGTTTTACCAGAATTTTCCCACCATTTCCAACAATAATTTACATGGACATCTACAATCTATAAGAATTTTTCTTAAATATGGCTTGATGTTGCTTATACATAATTATATTAGATTCATTTCATTAAGTAAGATATATGTACATCAATTAGATGGTGACTAATCATTGATGAATGCACCTATATATACATAATGTATAGAAGACTAATAGAGATAGTGTCAATGTATTGTGTATCTATTATGAATGTAGAAAATACATTAATCTATCTAATGAGTTCATTAATATAGAAGATGAATTATGTATTATGAATGTAAAAGATATATTAATCTATTTAATGAAATTCATTGAATGAATGGATTCTTTAATGGGAAGAATACTAGTATAAATAGTATAAGGTCCCAAACCACACTCTCCATAACAAAAACTCAAGTTGTCACCACAAGAAGGCTCGCCTAGAGAAAGAAGTGGTTTGAAAATCTTAGACAAATAAAAAACTTGAAGATCAAGGTCTTCTATTCAAGATTTCTTTTTCTCAAAAGCGATTTTCATACTATCATGGATCAAGATATGTATATACTCTTTTTTTGGTATGCCGCTCTGTGAGCAAGCAGTGCCACGCACGAGCGGAGCAAAAACAAAGCAAGGAGAATTGTTCGTAGAAATTCGTATAGTTTTCATGTATAGAATTGAATCCTTAATGGTTTTCAGTTTATACTCAGCAAAGTTTTCTATCACAATCAACCTCTGATTTAACAGGCTTCATTTTAACAATTGTTGTGGCCGATAAAAGCCAAATTCCTTCGCACCATTTCTGAACCAAAAGCTTTGATTTTTATCTTCATTTCATGGTATTATGATTGTTGTAAAACTTATTCTCCCTTGGAGCCTATTTCGTTACCGAGAAAATTTCCCTTTCCGGCTTGGGTTGGGTTGGGTTGGGTTGGGTTTAGTTGAGTAACAAAATTTATGATTTACGCAAAATCCATAATAAAGTCAATAAATTGAACAGCTTCAGTTTTATTTGAATAATTTTTGGAGGGTATTCTTGTGGGGAAGGGAAAGAAACAAACAAGGAGTAGCTAAGCTACCAACCTGTGAAAGCCATCTTTGGTGGCCTTTTCGAAGGAGATCTCGTTAGCATGAGCGGACATCCAAGCGGAGTCTCTGTAGATTCTGATCTCGAATTCAGATTCCTTGTGAACTGCCGTGTACTGTGGCGATTCGATCGCCTTTGAAACACCCACTAAGCAGACGAAGAAGAGGAAGACCACCATCAATGACAACCTTGATTCCCCCATCTCTCTCTCTCTCAATTCGCATACAGTTCAGTAGCTTCCAAGCCACAGGGGGCTAAAAATAGGATGAGCAAGGATTCCCTTCTTGTCATCTCTACTTAACTCTCTCTTTTGCAATGATTAAGATTCATCTAAACATAATTTAACAGCTCAATTTATTTTATTAAAAAAAATTAAAAATTAAAAAGTAATATCTAAAGATAATCTAACGACCAATAAGTGCAATTCCCATAGACTGTTATTTGAAAAATAATTTTTTGCCATAATTTTTTTATACGTCGTTAAAAATTAATAATTGGAGATTTTTTCATCATGATTTTTATAAATTATCGTTAAAATTTATAATTAGTAATTTTTTTATAATGAATTTTTAAAATTATTGCTAAAATTAAAAATTAGTAATTTTTTTGTGATATTTTTTAAAATTATTACTAAAATTTATAATTATTGATATTTTTTGTGATAAAATTTATAAATTATCATTAAAAATTAATAATTAATGACTTTTTTTTAATAATATATGATAAAAAATATCATTAATTATTATAGAATCTATTAAATAATAAATTTATTTAATAGGATATACGCATAAATCTCCAAAAGAATAGGCACAACTATTTCATTTACGGAAAATCCTACGACGTATCCTTGTCATATGCACCCTTCCCTTGTCACGTGGACCTTGATATTATTTTGATAAGTATAGTATTTAGTTATAATTTTTTTATTTAATTATGTCTCGAAAAATATAAATTATGTCATTTTATATTTTAGTTATAAGTTACATATATTAGAGCATCTCCAATGACAAGCTATTCAAAATTTGACAAGAATTTTAAACATGTTGCTTCAATGGACTACTATAACCCCTGCCAAATTTGGCAAATGCCATTTCATCTCTCAAATTTGGTAACAAGTTTGGTAATTGCCAAACTTGCCACATCATCCAAATAAACAGAATTTGGCTCCAAAATTTTCATGGAAGAAATAAACATTGTGAAATAATAATATACCAGAGATGGAACAATAATATAAAATTAAAAAAAAAATACAGTGGAACAAAAAATTTGCCATTACAATAGATTTTTGGAGAAATTATTACCAGAGATGGAACAATATATTCCAACTTTCCAAATTTCAACATACCAAATACAGAATCACCAAATTTTCAATTTTCCAAATTTCAGTTTCACCAATTTGAAGCAAACAAAATTAAAAAAAAAAATTAAAAAATGAACATAGTGAAGAAAAAAAAAAACCTAACAGTGAGAGGGAGAAGAGAGACAGATGATCTTCTTTATGTTCTTTAATACAGATGATTCCACAGATGATACATATACGTGATCTTCTTTCTGTTCTTTGATACAGATGATACAGTGAGAGAAACAGAGGGATGATGGTAGACGACAGTGAGAGGGAGAGGGATAGATTTGGAGGTGGGTTTGTGAGATTTTGAGACATGGATGATCGATTCAAAGGGAACTGGTGATGGACGAAGAAGAGAGAGACAGAGAATAGAGAGAGACGGAGGTGATGGACGGAGAAGACAGAGACGGAGAGCAGAGAGAGGCAAAAGTGATAGACGGAGAGCAGAAAGAGAGACTGGTGATGTATGGAGAAGAGAGAAACGGAGAGCAGAGAGAGAGACTTTCGGTGATGGAAGGAGAAGAGATAATATTTGAGAGAGAGAGAGAGACGGAGACTGAGAGAGAGGAGGTGATAGTAAAACCAAATAGAGAGAGAGAGAAAGACGGAGATTGAGAGAGATGAGGTGATGGTGAAACCAAATAGAGAGAGAGAGAGAGAGAAAGACTGAGAGTGAGAGAGAGAGAAGAGACGCGTGGACGGTGGTGATGAAACCAAATAGGATCGTTGTGCTCTGTTTGGCTAAAAAAAAAAACAAAAAACAAAAATAACAACAAACAGGTCGACGGTGGTGATAAAACCAAATAGAGCTATTGTACTCTGTTTGGCTAAAAACAAAAATAAAAACAAACACCAGTTTGTGTCAAAAATAAATATGTAGTGATATGTTTTTGGGTGGGATGAATTATATTTAATTTTTTTTTCCAATTTTTTAATTTTTTTAATTTTTTTATATTTGTCTAGTCGGGAATAATATAAATATATAATTTTTTTTACAAATAGTTCAAAAAATGTCACAAAAGACAAAAAATAAACAAAAATAAAATCACAATAAAAATTATATCCAAACAACACCTACAAACTTGGAGGAAAAGTTGGTTGAGATTTGCCAAAACAGCAAATGACCATTGGAGCACCATTGCTATAATTTGACAAAATAACACTATTTATTGTCAAATTATAGCAATAACAGTGACATTATAGCAACAATGGTTAGAGATGCTCTCATACACCCTTTCATTTACTACCATTCTTTTGGAATATATATTTGGATAAATTATAAATAATCTCTTTTAATACTGTTCTTTCATAATTTTAAAAATCACATCTTATTCTTTTAAACTTTAATTACATAACAATTATATTTTTTTAATAATAAATTATTAAATCAATTAACAATTTTAATTTTCTCATAAATATATTTTAATTAATAATTTTGATAATTTTATTATTACATGAAAGAGTGGTTAAGAAGTTTTTTTTGTTAATTATTTAATTTTTTTTTTTTTTTGATAAAAGAGCATTTGTAATTCTCAGAACAGGCTATTTGTATAAAGCTAACACTATTTATCTAATTTTTACAACATAGGGAATATTTTCTTTTTTGTAGAAAGTTAGATTAGTTGGTAAAGTTAGTGTACAGAAATGTATCACTTAAAAAGATCGCCTCTAGTCCATCAGTTTAAACCCCTGAGCTTTCTTCACTACACTTTAAGGTGTAGTTACACCCCATCTTGCCACAACGGCATGAGAACATTACAAACTTTATTTTTTTTATAATCAAAAGTCTTAGCTAGTTTATTTATTTATTTATTAAATTTGATTTTTTTAATGATTTTTTTGTTATTTATAAAAATTATCTTCTTTTTATTTATTTATTATTCCAAGTTAAAACAAATTGAAAAAAAAAAGAAAAGAACAAATCGGAAAAATAAATTTCACAATTTTGACATAATTACACTTACACTTAAATGTATATTTTCACTGTATATCCTTGTATTTTCACACAATCTGCATTAATACCGGTCTCTTTAACTTTATTAAAAAGAAAATATAATTATACCAAAACTACGGGGTCAGTGTAATTTACCCTAAAAATTGACACAAGACACAATTACTGAAGCACAGACAACTTTTTTGCATTATACAACTTGGGCATTCTCTTTCCTAAGAAGGTTTATTGTCTACATGGAGGGGAAGGGATGATCATTGAGACTTGACATTAGTTACAGATTGTTTCTGGTGTCAAAGCTCCAAATTTATGTCCCTTCTGCAGCTTAGGAACCGGGAAATCAAGCTCCACAAGATTTTCAAAACCCAACTGAGTTATTCAGTTAATTCCAAAATTCCTGCATAAATTAAACATGGAATCAGGGATAAATGATTCTCAGTATGAACATGAGCGATAAATTTATACCATATTTGTGCATCATTTGATCAAATATACAATAGACATGAACATTATTGTTCACTAGTTTTTCTTTATCATTTCTTGTAACCACGATGAAATATTTCTTGAATAATCTATGGATCGGGTGTGAGATCATTGACTTGCAATCATATGCAAATATATTATTTACCCGATGAAGCAATTAAAACACAAAAAAGTATTTTACTTCATGAAACTTTCGTACCTTCAAAAAATGATATAAAGAACATCTTCAGTCTCTAAAGATGGCTGGAACTGTAGATTCTGTAAAATACTCCTTTTTGAGGTCCTCCACCGAGCAAAATCTCACCTTCAAATAAGACGAAATGAATTAACATGAAATGAAATCACATTACATGAAAAACAAAATGATGATCAATTAATAAGAAAAGTTTTAAAAGTTTATCAAAGCAAAATTGAATAGAAGTTACAGGGAGAAAATTGCATATAAAATAATAACCATGTCTATATGTAGAAACCTTACAAAAGGGCTGCTTTGGAATGAAAATTTACAGTACAAAACTATGACTCAGATATATGGAAGGCTGATAGAAAACTCTAAGAAAGTTGGAAGCAGTTGTTTGAAAAGCAAGGGCTTGTTTGGCGCAATTTTGAGGTTTAATTTCGGAAACATGTGTCCCCTAAAGAAGTGCAGTTTTTCTCTAATAAGACTGGGATTTTTTTGACTTATTACCTGAAAGTCATTTTGAGAACAATAAACTAAATAAACTTCTTTCAATCTTTTTTTCTGCTATTTGAAAACTAAGGACAGAAAAGTTAAATCTGTCAAACAGGGCCCAGAATGTATTTGTTAGGAAAAAAGGAGATTCCTGCTTCCTAACTTACAACAACCATGCTGAGGCTTGCTTTGGAAACCTTACAGTTAGATTGCCTATTTTCAAGTTATGACATTCTATGATCTGACCAACTCTTGGATAATTATAAAAAAAAATGTTCTCAATGACAGTTTTTATTGGGGTAGTGTGGATTTGATAAGTACTTTACTCTTAAGGACGTTTTGGAGTAAGGGTATTTCTGCACTTGTGACCTGTTGTCCTAATTTTTATTTATTTATGTATTTACAGTTGAAGGGAGGTGGCTATCACTTGTAATCAATGGTATCCTCTCATATTATATTGAAAGCTACAGCAACCGTGGACATAACCCCAGTTTGGGCAGAACCACGTGAACCTTGTGTTCTTGGTATGTGTGTATGATTTATCTTTCTTATGCGTTTGTTTTTGTATTTCATGTTCACTGATCCTAGTTAGTCAGCCTTGACCACGTGAGCTAAACACCATAGCTTGTAGGCTTTAGATCCCCTAGTAAGATAAATATGCTTTGGTGTTTAATGTTTGATCTCCAAACTATGTTCATGTCTAAAATGCATCTTAACTTGTTTAGAGCTATTCCTCAGTCAATAATAGGAATAGCAAGACTGTGATGAGGAGAAGAAGCCAAGCACTACATAGTAAGCTAAAGGTGTGAATGACTACAAACACCAAATAAACGTCTACACCATTAAGTTGTCCTATATCTGCATGAGTTTTAAACAATTGACAAAAAATTGGCAAGGAAAATACCAAGTGATGCAGCATGTAAGTAGGTTTCAACCAAACTACACAAAATAAAAGGAACATTACATAATATCTACAATTTCCTTTAGCAACATAGAATTCATGAGTACACATGCGCACACACATATAAATTGATAAGTGCTTACCAGAGAAGAATATGACTTTAACAAGGGCTTGGCTAGCTGCCAAATTGGCTTAAATATAAATGGAGCACCAACAAAGAGGACTTGGCCCAACCGCATTGGATAGTAAGAGTAAAATACATCAAACTGCCAAATAGAATAAAAAATGAATGCATGATGTTCACTACATGGTTGGCAGGCAATAATGAAGCAAAATTGGTTGGATATGAAACAAAATTGCATTTTCTTTGTGATTTGGACAATTTTAGCTGATACTACTTTAATGTTGGAGGGAATAAGGAGCAGCATTCAAGCGGTACCAACTTGTTAGTAAGGGCAATGGGGTAAGTAAGCAGTCACTCTGCAATTAGTGACATTAACCATTTTCTGGTAGTTGTATAAAAACAATAGGGTATATTACACTGATCTCCCCTGATGTTTGGTCAAATCACAGCCAGCCCCCAAGGTTTGGGATAATTAGACCAAACTCCCTTGTGTTTTATAGTCACATAACACTTAGTCCCTGTCGTTAGTCTGCCTTTAGAAAACATGATGGAATTTGTTGAGGTCATCAATTTTTAAATTGACATGCCAAAATTTCTTTTAACTAATTATCCCATAATTTAAACTAACACCTCAACCTAACAAAATCAACCTAGTCACCAACCACTCCTCTTCATTCTCCCAACAACACAATGAAAACACTAGCCCAACCCATTGCCTAACCCCTACTCCCATCTACTACACCCTCAAACCCAATGCTACCCATAAATTTTAGAGAGACCATTGATATGGGCCGCGATACTGCCATCTACCACCCCTCCCCCTACCACCACTGCCACCTCGCCTGAGCCATTTGACCTCCTCCCTTGAGGCATCTAATCCTAACCTGCAAATCCCCAAATCAAAAAAACTTATTAAACCCCCAAATCAAACCTCCCTTCTCTGGATGACTGGGATTTTCAGGGGATGGTCAGAGGTTGCACTACCACTACACCCACTTCTCGAAACCTTTATAATCACACAATCTGGTTGTGGGTGTTTTGGGTCTCTCTCTCGAGATTGTACAAGAGGATGGTGGTTTGGTTGTTTGAAAAGCAAGGGCTTGTTTGGCGCAATTTTGAGGTTTAATTTCGGAAACTGGCGGGGGGGAGAGAAGAGAGAGGCGTGGTGGCGGCTGGAGGAGAGAGAGAGGGATTTGTTAGACTATTGTGCGGTGGTATGCATTTGATGGTGGTGTGGAACGGGACTATGGGGGGCAGTGGCAGCTGTTGGAGGAGAAGACGAGGGGACAAAGAGAAAATAGGGGATGGTAGCGGCTAGCTGTAGTTGAGAAGAAAGGAATGGGGAAAGGGTGGTGGCATACACTGTTAAGAGGGGAAGAGAGAGGAGAGGAGAGGGAGGAATGACTCAGAAAATAGAGGAGAGGAAGATATATAGTGAAGAGAAACATATGTATTCTGATAAAATCAATAATGCTGTTAATGCCGTTAATGTTTCAGCTCAGCCAGGGGAGATCGGTGAAATTTTTTCAAACCTTGGAGAGAGTGTAATTTCTCCAAACCTCAGGTGACATCAATGTAATTTACCCAAAAACAAAATATTTGCTGCTACTGTGAAGAAAAATCTCAAATGTCATCAAGTTCTCTTGTGACCATAAAAAATCAACTGTTCATGTATCAACTACCGGACAAAAGTTAATTGTTCAAATATCAACTACTAAGTTGAGTTTTCATTCGGTAATTGAAATCCAAAGAAAAAAATGTGTGAACTGAGAATTTTTGTGGTATGCATACAGGAAGCTCCCTTGGAAATTGCTTACCCAAAGATTATGCTTGAACTGAAAAATAAACCAAATTACAAGGCACTGTCTAAAAGATAATCAGAAGTAGTCCATTGAAATTACCACAAATGTTATGAACTTAAGATCCGTATTCTCGGTACCAAAGCCCCGGAGATCAAATATTCCAAGTATGTCTTCTTTTCCAGCTGGGAGTCTACTCAATGCCTTCTCAACTAAAAAGACACACAGCTTCTCATCCTCAATAGGATTTTGTTTCTGTGGCCAAAATTTTTAATGCAATTATCAGATCCATACCAGACAAAGCATAGTTGAAGTCTCAAAGAAGGTTAACAGAATATATACATGTAGATATCTAAACTTTAACATCGTTAAGAAAAAATAAAAAAATGACTCATTTAATTATGGTTATCCTTTTTTTTCTTGGGACCTCATGAACACTTTGAGAGCACGTTTGGTATGATGGAATGGGATGGAATGGAACGCCCATTCTAGCTTTGCATTCTCTTTCCCCTGTTTGATACGCCTTATTTATGTGGGAATAGCCACTTTCCAACAAAATATGGGAATGCCTATTCCTTCCTCTAACCTAAGGAATGACCATTCCATTCCATCATGGAATTATCATAAAATTTTTTTATTATTTTTTTGTTAGCACTTAAAAAAAATATTATTATTTAACTACTACCACCATTCCATTTTCCTACCACTCTATCTCAACCGCCACCGCCACTGCCGCCGCCACTACCACCATCACCACCCTATTGTCACCACAACCACCACTATCACCACCACCACAGCCACCACGCCACCATACTACCACCACCATACTACCGATGTCGCCACTACTATCACCACTACTACTGTTGGCTGCCGTAGCCACCTCAACTGCCATCACCACCACCACCATCGCAACCACAACACCACCTTACCACCACCACTAGGGCCACAACAATCTACTACTACCATCGTATTATCATTGCTAGCACCACCACCGATGCCACCGCCACCGCCGCCGCCGCCGCCGCCATCGCCACCACCACTATGACTCACACCATCACTTTCACAACTATCAATATTATCATGATCTATATAAATTTTTACTAGCTTGTTAAAAAAAAATAAAAAATAAAAATTTATTCTATTCCATGAGTTTAATAGATATAACCAAATATGAGAATAAAACTTATCATCCTATTCCTATGTCATTCCATGTTAGCAACCAAACAATGGAATGGAAATGGACATTCCATTCCATTCAACCTTGTATTCCATTCTCACTTTTATTCCATTCTCACTTCATTTCATTTCATCGTACCAAACATGCTCTGAAGGTTACGATTATTCTTGCATGAGAACACCACTAATTTAATATATATGGGAATGAGTGTTGAATCTGAGGTTAAACAGAAGAAAGTTTTTCACACTAGAAATTCATGCACAAGACTGTCATCAAAGACACTTTGGTACCTAAACACAACCATCCATCTTTGGGCCTGCTGTTGAAAAGGATCTGTGCTAAGATGAAATAGTTTCAAACAGAAACCCTAGCATTTTTAATGTTTTCAAAAGACCAAGATTGAAATATATAGCAGCTTCCAAGAGTAAAGAAAAAGGGCCAACAAAAATAACTGACGGACTAACTAAAAATCCCAAAAATAAAAGATTGACAGAGTACACAATTCAAGTTTTAGACTTACTGCAGGAAAATGCTTGGATGCCACCACAATTAGCACAGGTCTACCATGGACATCGAGAAAGTCATGCACAAAGCCTTTTCCAGTTTCAGCTACACTTCTCACCGATTCTTCAGACAATTCTGACACACCAAATTCTTGACGCCATTTCTGATCAGGTAGAAGGAAAATTGAAATGTCCCTAAAAATTACTAATTATTTGTCTTCAGAACGGCTATAATTGTTTTTAAGCACCAGCGCAACTATACAAAAATCTCTTCATCTTTTTTTTAGGAAGAGCTGTGCAGCTGATTCTACTGCTTAACAGTTTAGTTCTTAAGCTATGAAGAAAGAAAGAAAAAAATAAAATTTTTTTTTTTTTGAAGACCCAACATAATTTTTAATTTTTTTTTGTAAAAAAAAGGTCAATTTCCACCTGACCTCCCTTTGAAGGAACAAGGTTGCTTAGTCTGCATGATAATTTAAAAAATGTACCTAATGAGAAGCTTGAACTTTTCAGTGACCCAAATTGCCAAGAAGAGTCAATTACATGTTAGTGCATTTTCAAATTTTAATATCCAAATAGCATGAATGCATAGGACATGGATACAATAGCTTTAGCCAATTTCGAGACAGTATCTTCAACAGAAAATTTCCGATCCTTCAAAAACCAGCGGATCATGTCTTCATCATCTCTTCCATTTTTTCCCACAGGAAGAATAGGATGATATTTTTCAAGCTTCTCTTTCACATCTGTCACTAGCTGCAGATCAAAAGCAGTATAGACATAAGATCAACATATCCTTAAAGCTAAAGAAGACCCTCACAGACACACGCATGCTCATTTAGTCAATCATACAAGGGTTTGTCCTTGAAGGAAGGAACTCCAGTTCTTGGACATTTACACTGTAACAAAATTAGGGGCAACAGTGAGGACCTGGAAAAATTATTATGTGCATTTGGAGCAATGCCCCACACTAATTATCAATTGAGACCTACCATGTTGTCTCTCAAAGCATTGGCACAAAAGTGATGTGTCCTATTATTTAGACCAATAAATAACTATCAATTTGGAGCACCACCCAACCTAAACTTGCTCCAGGAACACCAAATAACTTCTCAAGGATCTGGGTAGAGTACTGTTAGATAATCTCCAACCCTTCATCAAAATTTTCATCAAATTTAAATTTGATGAAAAAAACGTGCTCCAACCATTGTATCAAATATGTATTTAATCAGGAGAGACAAATTTTCCACCAAATCAAGGACGAACCAAATCCTTCACCAAATTCCCAACAATCATATTTTTACTCAATTTTGACAAAATTTTAAAAAGAGTAAGGATTGGAGATGGTTTTCTTTCACTAAAAATAAAGAAAACATGATTTAGGATAAGTTACAAATTTTAATATTTGATGAAATTTTTTGAGTAAGGATTGGAATGTTGCATATCAAATCAAGCTTTTAACCAAATTTTCACTCAAATTTGATGAAAAAAGAGTAAGTATTAGAGATGCTCTTATGTCACCCAACAAACCAACAATGGACGAAACAGGACAAAGTAACACCAGAAATACAAATTACATAATTCTCAATTGTCCAAGACAATGCAGCAACTCCACTTAAGAGAACTATATACTTCTGACAGAAACAAAAGAAAATCCTAATGCTCTACTGGTTAGTCAAAAAATGTAACAAAACAACATAACAAGCTAATTTTCTATCCCACTATTATTACTTTTCCCCATTAAATAGTACATTGAATTGAACTTTTCATGTTTGAACCAAAACCCAAAAACCTTAAAACCCCAAATTCCATTTCCATTTCTTTTTCCTTCAATTCTATCAATGGCAAAAACAGAGCTTAAAATTTTCCTGATATAAAATGGCACACAAATCAAACCCAGTTGTTTATCTGAAAACCCAGAAAGATTAATGGATAAACAAACATGTAAAGTGGAGAAATTGGAGAAATGGGTACCTTATGGGACTTAATTGGGTGCGAGATACGACTATGAACAGAGAGTTTTTGGGGTCGAATTGGTCTATTGGAGTGAAGAGGTGGAACGCACTGGTGACGGAGAGAAGGGCAGAGATTCAAAGCCATTTTCTTCGGCGAAAGAGAGAAGTTACTGGTTTCAACTGATTTCAGAATTGTATATACGTACATGAATATATGATGAAGTTTTGGGTTTGGGGTTTGGTTTCGTGTCGGTTTATCGCGCGAGCAATGTGGCACGGAATGCGGTTGTCAACACGCAAGCATGTAAGAGTGATTTGAGGAGACGTCTCCTCTCTCACTCCCAAGAAGGTGGAAAGAAGAAAGAAAAATAAAATGTGGGGTTGGAGTAAAATTAACACTATTGGGGCCAATATCCTAATAATTTCCTCAATCTCAATGTATGAATTTAATGTTTTTGATTGTTCTTAACACAATAGTGATTTGGGATTAGTGAGGTTGGAAAAATAATAAAAAAAAATCTGAAGGTGTTTGATCTTTATGATAAAATAAAATTTTAAATTTATAGGAAATTAAGTACACAGCGAAAATAAATATATTTGGACATACATTTTACGCTAAAACTGAATTCATGAATTATATGTGTGAATCACGTGCTTCCATGATGAATTCGTACAATTCCCAGCAATAGGGTACCCATACTATTCACAGTACAAATATGTAATTGTTCTTCAATGGCAGAGAGTTATGGAGAGAAAATTAAAGAAATTTTTTGATTTAAAACCCAAATTATATAATACGCATAAGATATTTACTTATTTTCATCAAGTAAAATTGATAGGAAAAAAATTCAGTCATTAAATTCAACGAAAAGGGTATCTTAGTGTCACGATCCAAACCCGTCCCTATAAGTTTAGCGTCATAACCGGTCAATAATCTGTAGATTACCGAAGGCCTCATAGACAGAAAACATAATGCTAGGGGCTAGTAGAAGCAGATGATAAATATACAACGTCCATTGAGTTGTACAAACATATATGGGACATAAAAATTTTAGGCTCTGTTTGGTAGAACTCTCCAAACATATTTTTACCCTCACCTTTGAGTGTCTTGTTTGTTTACAGTTTTTAAAAGTTAATTCCATATCTACTTTTGAAAATTCTTTCCCAGACAGGAAAATTTGGACTAACTGGTCATCCTCCTGGACGTCTGGCCGGTTGACTGAAACAATAATATATTTTTTTTAAAAAACAATTGGCACATGTTATTTTTTATATTTTAAATAAAAAAATTCAAAATTTTTTAATTTTTTTTGAGTTTTGAATAGAATTTTGAGTTGTATGTGTGATTATGAATTGTAAGTTTTTGTATCAAATATCATATGTCACATTAAAAATTTCTTACTCAATTCAAAACTATTTTCAAAACTCATTCACCAAACAAATTTTTCACACTCAAATCATAATTTCAGACTCACAAATTCAAAATACAATTATATTATCAAATCATATTTAGAAAACTCTACCAAACACTACCTTAAACTTTTTATATACATATGTTATCACATCATTCCTACGTCATCATATATATATACAAATGAGATAAAATGGGACTTAGCCTTAGTTACAAAATAAACAAAGACTTGTTTAACCAAACAAGAAAACAAAACTTAAACTTTAATCACATAGCTATAATCACTTGACATATTAAGAACCTTCACAGGAGGCACATAGGTTAGTTGAAAAAAATAGATTCCAACCAGACGCCTCTAAGCCTGGTTACTCGCCTGATCACCTACATATATAAATAATACAGTGAGCTGGAGCCCAATGAATAATAACAAAGTAAAGGTTTTATGAATGATGTTCATAACAGATTTAAAAATCAGAGTTTAGTCAGAAACAGATTCATGTTCATATCAGATTTTCACAAATAATCATACGTGGTATATCCATTAGCATTAATAAATCAAATGGCTCATGAATATATGAGATGTTCTGATGACCCAGGAAGGGACCAGATGACCCATAAAGAAACATATACAAATCAAATAAAGAGTTATGCATAACCAATCCTGGTATCAAGTAACAGATATCACATGATACTAAGGATGCCACAAATACATTTCAGAAAGTTGGACAATCATTCATTTAATCATAAGATAACATTTCAGAAAACAGATATCAAATCATATCATATCATTCAGAAAAAACTTAAAGTTGAACATAGTTTTACAGAACTATTACTCACAAATAACTCCAGAAGCAGATCAGGCAAATTAGATAGATCAGGTAAACGATAGCACGTGACCTACATAAACACATAACATATACACATTGAAACACAATATCACTTCCTTAATCAAACTTGACTTCTCTTGTTTTTTCCTGTCTAAGTGATCCGAAATTCTACTACGCATATTCTTTCTTTATTCAAATGAATCGAATTTTCATTTCACATATTCTTTCATAACCAAATCTCTCTTTTCCAAATAAACCGATTTCTTACTTGGCTTCTTAATCAATTATTACTAAATCAATGATTTATCCATTAACCAACTAATTTATATTGATTATTAGTTTATTAATCGTGTTGAGTCATAATTCTTGCCTAAGAATGCTTGGAAAGAGATTAGATTAAAATATGAACTAAATGTCATTTTTCCAAAATATGATGAAAAAGAGCTGTTCACTCGAGCGGTCTATCAAAGACTGCAAAAGTACTGAAAGTCTTCAATGTGTGCTCAAGCTGTAATTACACTGCTCGAGTGGTTTGTAAAATTTCAAAATTCCAAATTTGCCAAAAGATGGCTTCCAAATGCATTTTTTAAGTTTTAAACCCATACACATCTTGATCAAAATTTTGAAAATACATTAGAAAACATAAACACTTATTTATTTATAAATCACTTGCTCAAAATCTTGAAACATAATTCACTTATTTAAATCAAAACCTTAAAATCAAAACCTACGAACTCACTATTTTTTTTTTTTAAAATCAAATGTACAATGAAATTGCATGTAACTTATGAAGCTTAATTTAATTATAGCTCCTAAAATCAAACCCAAAATAATTAATTTCTAAATTAACTTTAATAAACTTGAACTTAGCTCCAATTCTTCATTTTTTTGTCAATCTCTTTTTAATTGCATAAAATTGACTTCAAACTCTTTTTTATTTTCCTTCAAAATATGAAATTAAAGTTATAAACTTCTTAGAAGGGTGCAACTTGTCTCATGTTGAGATCAAGACTGGACTTTTCCAGTCCGGCCCATGGGTCAATTTTTGAACTCCTTTTCGATAATCCGAACTGTTTAATGTGTAGAACACGTCGAGTATTATATTTTTGTAAAAAATTACATTGATTGGATATCGATAGCTATTTGATCGGATTAGATTTGTATTTTAAAAAAATGAACGGTGAAAAAATAAACAGTTAACAAAATTCTGATCCGATCAATAGTTATTGATATCCAATCAGCGTGATGTTTTATAGGGATATAGTATTCGACGAGTTGTACACATTGAGCGGTTCGGATTATCGAAACGAGACCCACAAATGGGCCCATGGGCCGGACTGGACAAGTCCAATCTTGATCTCAATAAGAGACAAGTTGGACCCTTCTTAGAAAATCATTTGCATGTATGAAACATTTACCAAAATCTAACAAATTTTACATCATCAAGCTCAAACCATAATTTGACTTCTTAATTTATATCAAAACTCAATCATAAACTCATAAACTTTAAAATATAAAATTAAGGTCCAAGACCTTGAAATTCTAAGATACATGTAAAATGAATTTCAAATTTATGAAGAATACCAAAAATCAACTAAAACTAATTAATTTCCAAACTTATTTCTATAATCTTAAACTTAACTCAATTTGTAACCTCAACTTAATTCATAATCATAGATGTTCCAAAATATGTTTAATTTGAATAAAACTCTTAAATTACATTACATGCATGATTAAAAATCTAATTATAAAATCAAAACTTTATCTAAATTTAGGATTAATTCCAAATTTTCATAAACTTAATTTTTATAAAACATTTCATTTTTCTCTTCAAATATGAATTTGAATGGCTCAATTTCTTCAAAAGCCATGATGCATGTAAATATAAACTTAAATACTTATAGAATTTCCTCATGCATGTACTAATGGAACTTAATTTCATGCATTATAAAAATCAAACTCAAAATAATTAATTTCCATAAACATGAACTTCGCATAATTTTCTTCATCTTCTTACTAATTTCTTCCAAATTATATGAAATTGAAACCAATTACTTATTGAATTCAACTTTTAGATGAGTTTCCTACAAGATTTTAGCTTAGATTCCTTACCTAGAGCTTTAATTTGTTGAATTTCTTGTTAAATTTTGAGTCCCTTCTCTACACTTTTCTTTTTCTTCTTTAACTAGAACTCAAGTCTTCATCCTTTATAATTTCCAGATTTCCAACACAAATTCTCTCTCTCTCTCTCTCTCTCTCTCTCTCACACACACACACACACACACACACACACACACACGGTTTCTCCTCTCCTCTCTTTCTTAAGGTTTTTTTTTCTCTTTTCCCTTCTTTGAGTTCCTTCTCACTGCTGCCAGCACACATATATTGATACGTATATATGATTTGTCGCCTCAACATCACACCTGTACATACACTTGTCAACAACACACACCCACAGAATTACTCAATACAACCACACCCATATCCACCCTCAATTCTAGATTCTTTCATGATTCAATTTATGTTTAAGATTAATTTAATTAAGTAACATTTAGTTTTAATAAATCTTAATGAATACATAATTAAATTAACCATAACTAATCACAAATCCTACATAATTTAATTAGTCCAATTGATTTTAATTAAGGCCCAATTAATTATAATTAAATTTATCAATCTGAATTAGATTTTTAATCAAACTCCCAAAAGACTCTAAATATCAAATCAAACATATTGCCACCATCAATTTTGTTATCTCGAATCATTAAGGCCTTCAATTTCAGATCAAACTTAAAATCTCCATCAACAAATCACATACTCAATTGAATACCTTATAAATAAATTTTATTCATAATAATCTTAATTCCCAATCAGCATAACTTAATTAACTCTAATTCGGACCCAATTAATCAAATCTCAATTTTATAAATTTAAATCGAATATTTTATTAAACTCCTATATGGTCTGATACTCAAAATTAAAATACTTCAATTCAGCAATTATACTCTCTTGAGCTGTTTAGGCTTTCAATTTCTAATTCCAAAAAATAAATTCTCAACAGAATCATATACGAATCAATCTCCACAATTTTCATAAATCCCAAATTAGATTAGAATAATAGG